CAAACGGTTCCTTTTGTTTCCTGTCAGGAACCAAAATAAATAATAAAAGTAAATGGTTCCTTAGTTAATATTTTTAACAGGTTTTAATAAAACATGTTAATTAGTTCTTCTAGGTCTCTTGAAATTGAAATTAGACAACAGTCTGACAGGTAGACTGTTTTCAGTACTAAGCTTTTTTTCCTTTCTCCATTTCCAGGTATTCCAAATCTGATCACAGCAGATATGATCAAGGAAGGAGCAGCAGTCATTGATGTGGGAATAAATAGAGTTCATGATCCTGTAACTGCCAAACCCAAGTTGGTTGGAGATGTGGATTTTGAAGGTAAATGGTAAAATTTTATTTTTAAAGTACTACCTTTCATGGACATTTAGAATAGATTATTTACTTTTTTTTTTGAGACGGGAGTCTCACTCTGTTGCCCAGGCTGGAGTGCAGTGGTGTGATCTTGGCTCATTGCAACCTCTGCCTCCCAGGTTCAGGCGATTCTTCTGCCTCAGCCTCCAGAGTAGCTGGGACTCCCAAAGTGTTGGGATTATAGGTATGAGTCACTGCACCTAGTCCGTATGCGTTTCCCTCCCTCCCTCCCTCCATCCATCTATCTTCCTCTTCTTTCTCTTTCCTCCTCCCTCCCTCCCTTCTTTCCTTTTCCTTTTTTTCTTTCTGTCTTTCTTTCTTTCTCTGTCTCTTCCTTCCTTCCTTTCCTTTCCTTTCCTTTCTTTTTTCTTCTTTCTGTCTCTCTTTTTCTTTCTTCTTTTTTTAAACAGTCTCATTCTGTCACCCAGGCTGGAGTGCAGTGGCACCATCTCGGCTCACTGCAACCTCCACCTCACAGCTTCAAGCAATTCTTGTGCTTTCAAGCCTCCCCAGTAGCCAGGATTACAAGCATGTGCCACCACGCCCACCTAATTTTTTGTATTTTTGGTAGAGACGGGGTTTCGCCATGTTGGCCACGCTGGTCTGATCACTCCTCAAGTGATCCTCCCACCTTGGCCTTCCAAAGTGCTGGGATTACAGGTGTGAGCCACTGCACCTGGCCTTAGTATGCTTTTCATAAGAATTAGAGAAACCGGCCGGGCGCGGTGGCTCAAGCCTGTAATCCCAGCACTTTGGGAGGCTGAGACGGGTGGATCACGAGGTCAGGAGATCGAGACCATCCTGGCTAACACGGTGAAACCCCGTCTCTACTAAAAAATACAAAAAACTAGCCGGGCGAGGTGCGGGCGCCTGTAGTCCCAGCTACTCGGGAGGCTGAAGCAGGAGAATGGCGTGAACCCGGGAGGCGGAGCTTGCAGTGAGCTGAGATCCGGCCACTGCACTCCAGCCTGGGTGACAGAGCGAGACTCCGTCTCAAAAAAAAAAAAAAAAAAGAATTAGAGAAACCTTTTTAAAATTACAGCCATTCTAGAATTATTTTAGTTGTTTCATCATAGTGATGGAGAGCAGTTATAAACTTTTCAGGGAATTGTTTTTTTCCTTAGAACTTACTTCATAATTCAAGCAATTTCTTGACTTTTAACAAGTTTGAAAATTTGATGAAGTGATTTTTATAAACCATGGAGTCTCCCAAAAAGTGTTGAGAGTTCCCATTTTCACACTGAGACATCACAGGCCTAGAAAGTTAAAATGGTCCAGGAAAAAACCATAGCCCTGAAATACTAGAATATACTAGTAGATGTCTCTTTTCAGTTATTTTTTTTTAAGAGGCAGTCTCACTCTGTTGCCCAGGCTGTAGTACAGTGGCGTGATTTCTGCTCACTGCAACCTCTGCTTCCCAGGTTCAAGTGATTCTCCTGCCTTAGCCACCCGAGCAGCTAGGATTACAGGCATGTGCCACCACGCCGGCTAATTTTTTGTATTTTCAGTAGAGATGAGTTTGGCTCTGTTGACCAGGTTGGTCTTGAACTCCTGGCCTTAAGTGATCTGCCTGCCTCAGCCTCTCAAAGTGCTAGGATTACAGGTGTGAGCCACTGCACCTGGCCTCTCCTTTCAGTTCTTAAGATAGAATGTTTATCTGAATATATGCTGATAATCCTTTTTTTTTTCTTTCCTTTTTTTTTTTTTTTTTTTGAGACAGGGTCCCTCTCTTTTGCCCAGGCTGGAGTACAGTGGCATGATCTCAGCTCACTGCAGCCTCTGCCTCCTGGGCTTAAGCAGTTCTCCTGCCTCAGCCTCCTGAGTAGCTGGTACTATAGGCACATGTCACCTTGCTTGGCTAATTTTTGTATTTTTTGTAGAGATGGGGTTTCACCGTGTTGCCTAGGCTGGTTTCAAACTCCTGGCCTCAAACAATCTCCCCCACCTCACACTCTGCCTCAGTCCCCCAAAGTGCTGGGGTTACAGGCATGAACCACTGTACCCGGCCTATGCTGATAATCCTATTCCTAGCTTTCTGTTTTTATTAAAGCAGTCAAACCCATGCCTAGGTATGTAAGGATTTTCACTTTAACATTAGGGTAATTTTTTTTTTTTTTTACTTCTCACTTTTAAAAAATTACTGTGCTTTCTGCTTTGGACAAATTATACTTAATAAAATGCTGTAGGGAGCTATTGAGGTAATGCTTATTATTATTATACTTACAACTCCCACGCAGTTAACCTACTAGATGTTTAATAGATTTCTTTATAGGTTACTTAGATGTATAAATATTCCTTGAACAATTCTGTATGTGCATGTTATTTTACTAGTGTATTCACAAAACCTTGAATGATGTAGATGTGATTTTTGAGTTTTATGCTTAGGTATGTTACTTTTTCCTTCCTTGCATGCTTGTTTCATAATATATTAAAGTACACACATGTCCTTTGCCATAACTAAAGCAGCCTGCCTGTCTTGTTTCTATGTAGGAGTCAGACAAAAAGCCGGGTATATCACTCCAGTTCCTGGAGGTGTTGGCCCCATGACAGTGGCAATGCTAATGAAGAATACCATTATTGCTGCAAAAAAGGTGCTGAGGCTTGAAGAGCGAGAAGTGCTGAAGTCTAAAGAGCTTGGAGTAGCCACTAATTAACTATTGTGTCTTCTATGTCACAAACAGCACTCCAGGCCAGCTCAAGAAGAAAAGCAGGCCAATAGAAATGCAATATTTTTTATTTATTCTACTGAAATGGTTTAAAATGATGCCTTGTATTTATTGAAAGCTTAAATGGGTGGGTGTTTCTGCACGTACCTCTGCAGTACCTCACCAGGGAGCATTCCAGTATCATGCAGGGTCCTGTGATCTAGCCAGGAGCAGCCATTAACCTAGTGATTAATGTGGGAGACATTACCATATGGAGAATGGACGCTTCCCTTTGTCAAACTCGGTTACACATTTGCCTTTTCTAGGATTGCATTTCCCAAGTGCTATTCTAATAACAGTTGAATACTCATTTTAGGTACCAAACCTTTTGAGTTCAACTGATCAAACCAAAGGAAAAGTATTGCTAGAGAAAATTAGGGAAAAGGTGAAAAAGAAAAAATGGTAGTAATTGAGCAGAAAAAAAATTACTCTAATTTATATGTGTATTGATTGGTAACCAGATTTATCTAAGTAGAACTGAATTGGCTAGGAAAAAAGAAAAACTACATGTTAATCGTTTTCCTAAGCTGTCTTTTTGAGGTTTAGTCATTGGGAAAATGTTTAGGATTATTCCTTGCTATTAGTACTCATTTTATGTATGTTACCCTTCAGTAAGTTCTCCCCATTTTAGTTTTCTAGGATTGAAAGGCTTCTTTTATACATTATTCATGTGTGTTGTCATATTTGGCTTTTGCTATATACTTTAACTTCATTGTTAAATTTTTGTATAGTTTCTTTGGTGTATCTTAAAACCTATTTTTGAAAAACAAACTTAGCTTGATAATCATTTGGGCAGCTTGGGTAAGTATGCAACTTACTTTTCCACCAAAGAACTGTCAGCAACTGCCTGTTTTTCTGTGATGTATGTACCCTGTTGACTTTTTCCATAAATTTTTTAAGAGTTTGAGTTAATATTGAATTTAATTAGATTTTCTGATTAAAGGTTTTTTTTCTTTTTTAATAAAACACATCTGTCTGGTGTGGTATGAATTTCTGAAATTCTGTCTTCCTATGACTCTTAGTTGCGACTGAACCAGAGTTTTTTTCTCATTTAATCAATGTAGATATTCCTATATTCAGTAACACTTAATCCTATAGCCTTAAATAGATAATTTTTTTTTCTTTCTTTTTTTTTTTTTTTTTTTTTTTTGTAGAGATGGGGTCTTGCTATGTTGCCTGGGCTGATATTGAACTCCTGGCCTCAAGCAATCAATCCTCTTGCCTCAGCCTCCCAGAGGGCTGGGATTACAGGCCTGGGCCACCCACGCCCAAACAGAGGTTTAAAGAGCTTTGGCGAAACCAGCCTCGTTCTCCAGCCTTTTTTTTTTTTTTGAGACTGAGTCTCGCTCTGTTGCCCAGGCTGGAGTGTAGTGGCATGATCTCGGGTCACTGCAACCTCTGCCTCTTGGGTTCAAACAATTCTTGTGCCTCACCCTCCTGAGTAGCTGGGATTACAGGTGCATGCCACCGTGCCCTGCTAATTTTTGTGTTTTTAGTAGAGACGGGGTTTCATCACGTTGACCAGGCTGATCTCAAATTCCTGACCTCAAGTGATCCACCTGCCTCGGCCTCCCAAAATGCTAGGATTACAGGAGCCACCGCACTGGGCCTGTCCTATAGTCTTATATCCCAACAGATTGTGCCGAGCTAGGAGCTTAATCTGTTAAATACTTGAGGTAGGTTTCTTGTCTATTTTGGCTTTTGGCTTTCAGGCAAGCAGAAGCAGCTCCTGCTCTAGGCAGCTTGAGGCAGAAAGAGAACAGTTGAGTTGACCTACCTCCATCCTTGTTCTTCTGCCAGCTGGCGTTATTCTTTTCATAGTTCTCTGGAGTTGAAAGAAGTTTCGGTAGTTTGTTGGAGATGTTTTTGTAAGTGAGGTATAGCTCATGTCTATAAGCCATGCCTACTTACTTACCTAGATTATTAAACATGGAGCTAGATGACCAGACAGCATTAAATTTTATTGAATTACAGTTACAAGTGGAACAAATGACTGACTGACTGCATGGAGAAGTATTATGCCAACCTGTTAAAAGCTATGGAGATTAAAATGTTCATGTATATACAAAATATAAATGACATGTAGGGTAAAATTACAGTGATCAATTTACAACAAAGAAATTAACAGTAATTTTCCAGCTTGTCTGATTAATCAAGCAGGTTTACTCTTGAATCCATAGCATTTCTACAATTTAATTTGGACAAAGTTCTATTCCAAATCAGCCAGGTTTTAAAACTGAAATGTTAAGGGTGGATTGTTAGCTTCCCCAGGATTGGAGCGGATGATAATAAAATACTTTTTAGAAACATTAATTATTATTTATAAGACATGGGTTCCAGCTGTCTCCTTGGCTGGAGTGCGGTGGCATGATCATAATTCACTGCAGCCTTGAACTCCTGGGCTTAAAGGATCGTCCTGCCTCAGCCTCCAAAATGGCTGGGACTACAGGTGTGTGCCAGCATGCCTGGCTAATTTTTAAACATTTGTTTGGAGATGGGTCTCACTATGTTGCCCAGGCTGGTCTTGACCTCCTGACCTCTACTGATCCCCCAACCTCAGCCTCCCAAGCAGCGGGATTACAGGTGTGAGCCACTGTGCTGGCAAGAATTTATACTTAAGCAAAGGAGATGGTTCTGGATTAGCTAAGAAATTCTGCTCTCAGTAGGAGTAGAGGTTTAGAGCTTTACCTCTTGGCAGTATCCCTTGGAAGGGAGCTCTGAGATTAAATGTAATCAAATACTTATTGAGAGCTTTCTGTGGACCGGGCACTCCACTAGACTCGGGATTACAGAGGCCAGTTACCTGTCCTGATCTGTTAATGATCTAGTGTCATTTTTCTTTAAAAAAGAAAGCACCTGCATTTGTCATCTTGAGCAAATATAGTAACCAAAGTGATTTACTCAAGGTTCGAATCATAGTTGTTTTGGAGAAAGTGTCAGATGCACTGTGGCTGTCGGGGTCATAGTAGGCATTAAATAAACATGGTTGGTGTTCATTAAATGTGGACTGAAGGTAAAATGACTGATCTTAAGTTTCATGAGGAATAGGTTTGCTTCATTGAAACTGGTTTTTATCTTCCCAAATAGTTTTCAATCATTCCTTTAAAGTACTAGGTTGATTAATATTGCGAAGTTATAATGTAAAATGTGATATTACCTCTGTCTAACCTGTATTCACATAAATGGGAGTTTGACTTTGGGAATAAATGTTGAAAATTTGCAGGAAAGACCCACCCAAATGTATAATGAAATGTGATTCCAGGTATGAAAAACCAGTGATACTAATTTAAATGATCATTTTGTTGATTTGACGTGTGGTTTCAAATTTCACTTTAACAAGAACTATTTTATTTTAGAAACATTTATCCACTCAGATGGATTGGTTCTTTCATTAACAGAGTTTTGGAACTGGCTTTTCAATCTGGGAAAGCCCCAGTCACACTTCTGGAGCAAGTCCCATACAGATGGTTCAAACTTTTTGTTTGTTTAGAGACGGAGTCTCTCTCTGTTGCCCAGGCTGGAGTGCAGTGGCACCATCTCGGCTCACTGCAACTTCTGCCTCCCAGGTTCAAGCGATTCTCTTGCCTCAGCCTCCCTAATAGCTGGGACTACAAGCACATGCCACCACGCCCAGCTAATTTTTTGTATTTTAGTAGAGATGGGGTTTCACCGTGTTGCCTAGGCTGGTCTTGAACTCCTGAGCTCAGGCGATTCGCCTGCCTCGGCCTCCCACAGTACTAGGATTATAGGTGTGTGCCACTGTGCCCAGCTGGTTCAAACTTTTCATATAACCCTTAGGAAATTGGATGTGACAGGGAGAAAAGATATGACCTTTCCAGCATTTCTTAATATGCAGAATTGCCAAATATTCCAAAGATGGTCTAGTGACATAAGAGTATATTATGAGTTCATTTGAGAACATCTGTATTTAAATCTAACCTTTAAACAATTTTAAATTGGTATTTGTTTTAAATATGAATTGACTATTGCCCTTTTATCTTAGCTATGGTTTGGGGAAGCAAGCATTTTTTTTATTTCCAAAGAAATGTTAGAATTCCTATGCCGGACTGCATTTGAAAATAAAATATAATATTTAGCTTTAGGTATTTTAATTACTACGAAAGGAAGGGGAGAGCTTTGCATCTAAGCAGTACTTTTCATCAACACATCTCCAGTTTTCTATTAGGCAGAAGGACTCCCTCTGTTTGATAAAGAAGGAAACAGGCACAGAGAAGTTAAGACCCTCCCAATGAAGACTAAGCCAGGCTCTCCATCTCCCATCTGGGAGAAGCTGCTTCATCCTAGAGGGTGGTCTCGCTGTCAGTTTCTCTTCGGTATTTGTCCATGTCTGTGAAGTCATAGTCTGACTCCATCTCTATCTTCACCTGTGGCACCATGAACACTGGGTTCCGTGAGTAGTTGAAAGCAGGTGAAGCTGGACAGGAGATTTTGAAGTGCAAGGTGATGCTGAACAAGAAGTAGGAAAGAAGGATTATGTAGCTCCTGGTGTTTTGAACCCATCCCCTGGAGCAGGGCTCTAATGCAAATACTTCTGTCTTCGCTTCTGAACTCTCAGCACATGCCAGAATGAGCAGTTTCCTATTGGCTTGGCCTTCAGCCACAGTTATGCACCTGGTCTCGCCCTGTAAACCTATTTTCACATTGCTGCCAAGGTGAACTTTTGAAATCACAAATTTGGTGATTCCTCATTGTTCAAAAAATCTAAGCTCTTTAGTGTGAGAAGACAGGAGTGTCTGTCTTCTCACAAACACAAACACAGCCTTCTGTGTTTGTAGTCCTGCCTGCTTAGTTTGCCCTATCCATTGCAGTGTTCTTTGCTCTTTGGGTGTGTGTGTGTGTGTGTGTTTTCAAATGGTACTTCGCGCCTGTGTCCACTGCCTGCAATGCCTTGCCTTTTCTTTATTCTGCCCCGCTCTATGTCTGGCAGATTCCAGTTTCTCTTTCCTAGATTCTCAAAACGAGGCTAGTCCCTCCCTGTGTGCTCCATTATTCTTGCACAGGGTGCTCTTTGTTTGCATGCCATTCTTTCTATATACCCAGGGATTAAGCATCACACCTGGTAGATCATTGATGCTTAGTCTTTGTTAAACCAGACCACGTTGCAGAGCCTTTCACTGAAATAGAATCTTGCTATTTAGTGGTCTTTGCCTCCATCTGTTTTCATAAATTGAGTAAAACACCAATGAAGTTGGGAGATGCCATCTCCAGTTACCAAATTTTCCTCATTTCTGACCTTGTCTTAGGGCTTTGTGTAATTTAACAGGGTTTTGGAAACCCTTAACCTGGTCCAAATTTTCTCTCTACTGCCTGAAATTGGGAGCAGTTAGTCAATTTCGTGTAGATTATATTATAAATGAAAAGAAGATAGACTGCTTTCTCCTAATACTGGTGTGTACTACTGTATAATGATCAGTGGCATCACAGATATAGGAGCCTGCCTGGGGATGTGGGATGAGAAGGAAGGCGGAGATGTAAATGGGACAGGTGACACTTTGGGCTAGATCATCCTTGGGACTGCTGCTTAGGGAGGGTTGAACTGGGGAAAAGTCTGTTGTTTCACCCTGGCATTGGGGTAGCAGCTTTGCCTTATAATTCAAAAGATCCCCTGTCCCCTGTTTCCCCAAAAATCTCTTGGATGAGTGCCCTCTGTGCCTGGAGACTGATCTTCCAGACCTGGGATAGCCTGTGCTGTAATTACTGTTTGATCCCTGTCCATTCTAGGGCACAAGGTAGGAGTGGGACTGCCCCTGGCATCTTCCCAAGTAATAATGAAGTAAAGCCTTTCTTGCCTCTGAATTCCTCTTTTCTGTGTTTGAGCCCACTGTGTCATCATCAGGGAGTCTCACCTTTTTCACGGGTGGCTTCTCATGAAGAACAGAATCACATTGTTGGCATGGGGGCTCCTGGCAACTGGCCTGGAACTTATTCTTAACAGTTCCCATCTCGAGTGGATCTCTAATGTTAGCTTTGATGTTGATCTCTGATGTTGGCTTTCCTCCATACCCTTTCTGACCTTTGCTAATTAGCCCTGCTGTTAATTCATTCTACAGAGTACCCTGGGGTTTTGATCCTTAGCGTTCATTTATCCTGGCTTTCAGTGATATTACACCTAAGCCATGCCTAGTTTTCCTGCCCTTTTTTTTTTTTTTTTTTTTTTTTTTTGAGATGGAGTCTCTCTCCGTCGCCCAGGCTGGAGTGCAGTGGCACAATCTCAGCTCACTGCAAGCTCCACCCCCCGGGTTTGCACCATTATCCTGCCTCAGCCTCCCAAGTAGCTGGGACCACAGGCACCCGCCACCACGCCCGGCTAAGTTTTCGTATTTTTTTTTTTTTTTTTTTTGAGACGGAGTCTCGCTCTGTCACCCAGGCTGGAGTGCAGTGGCCGGATCTCAGCTCACTGCAAGCTCCGCCTCCCGGGTTCACGCCATTCTCCGGCCTCAGCCTCCCGAGTAGCTGGGACTACAGGCGCCCGCCACCTCGCCCGGCTAGTTTTTTTTGTATTTCTTAATAGAGACGGGGTTTCACCGTGTTAGCCAGGATGGTCTCGATCTCCTGACCTCGTGATCCGCCCATCTCGGCCTCCCAAAGTGCTGGGATTACAGGCTTGAGCCACCGCGCCCGGCCAAGTTTTCGTATTTTTAGTAGAGACGGAGTTTCACCGTGTTAGCCAGGATGGTCTCAATCTCCTGACCTTGTGATCTGCTGACCTTAGCCTCCCAAAGTGCAGGGACTACAGGCGTGAGCCACCGCGCCTGGCTTCTGTTTTCTTTTATCAATATTTACTTTTTTTTTTTTTGAGACGGAGTCTTGATCTGTCGCCCAGGCTGGAGTGCAGTGGTGGGATCTTGGCTCACTGCAAGCTTCACCTCCCAGGTTCATGCCATTCTCCTGCCTCAGCCTCCCCAGTAGCTGGGACTACAGGCGCCCGCCACCACGCCCAGCTAATTTTTTTGTCTTTTTTTTAGTAGAGACGGAGTTTCACCGTGTTAGCTAGGATGGTCTTGATCTCCTGACCTCATGATCTGCCCACCACGGCCTCCCAAAGTGCTGGGATTACAGGCATGAGCCACTGTGCCCAGCCACAACATTTACTTTGAATTTTTGTTCTACCTAGTCTTTTGTAAGAATTTCCTTTACTAAAGTTGAATACCTTTGTGTGTTGTAACCATATTGTTATGTCAGTGAGAAGACATATTTGTTTCTTGGCCCTGAATGATGAGTCAGGTTTGTCAGCCTTTGACTCCCAGCTGGGGACCAGCAAGGGCCTTCTACTGAGAGGACAGCTAGCCTGGGAAATCCTAGACCCTCCACCTTCCCGACCATTTCCCAGTCTCTTACCTAATATGCAAGGAGTCTACCTAACAGTGTTTACCTTCGATCAAGTTCTGTGTCACTGAAGGAAGAATCAGAGTGAGTAACTCCAACTGGAAGATCTTTTTCCTGGTAGGAAAATGAAAATGTCAGATGTGGAGCAGTTTTGAGCACCATATTTCTCCGGGCTTCCCCCACCATTTCCTCTCTTTTCCTTCTCTAATCCTATAGCCAACACTATGCAAGAGGAATACAGGGCCTCAGAGATGTGTGGCTTCGGGCTTAGTTACTCTTTCACCCAGAAGGCTCTCAGCCAGGGCTAGGGGGTGTGAGGCATGGGAGGGCCAGGGAGGAGAGAGATGGGAGTCAGGGAGGAGCCTGAGAAACTCAAGATCTTGAGGTGCTTATGAGGGATACTGCTGATGGGAAGGACGCCCTGGCCACCCACCCCTAATCTGTCTTTGAGGGTGGCAAGCCCTGTATCAGAAGCACCAGGCTTGGGACTAAGGTAGGGATCTTTCAGAAGACTCGGGACAGGCTACGTTGCCTGGATGACAGGACTGGCCACCTATGGCGAGCTGAGGCTGGGAGGCATTAAAGGCAGCAATAGAATCTCCCAGGATTTCCGTAAGCAATGCCCAATCCCGCCCAGGCAGCCTCCCTCTCAGCTGTCTGCTGAGAAGGTGCTGAGGATTCACACAGAGGCACAGCACAACCACCACGGGGATCTCCAATTATGCCTGACTTATAACCCAAGTGCTATGCTACCTATTTCTCTTAAGGGGAAAGCTTGGTTCTGAGCCCTCAACCATTTCAACAGCCACTGGAAAACATGGGAAGCCTGGTGGGCCATGTTTGGACTGATGTGGTTTGAAACAACACAAAAGAGGGCCAGGAGATGCCACAGGGATCTGGGGACACGTAGGGAAAGGAGGGAATGAGGGATTTTGCCTTAACTAAAGTGAGGATTAGTCATTCAAGTCTGCAGGCTTTGCTCTGGGGTTTCCCATCTGGTTGGAGTACCAGTCCTGGTGGCCCAGTTCTCTTTGATCTCTGCCTAGGACAAAGGTCTTCTAGTGCAGGGTCCTAAACCCCCAGGCCATGGAACAGTAGCAGAACCAGGCCGCACAGCAGGAGGCGAGTGTGGGCAAGCAAGCATTAACCCCTGTGCTCTACCTCCGGTGGGATCAGTGGCAGCAACAGATTCTCATAAGGGTGAGAACCCTATTGTGAACTGTCCATACGTGGGATCTAGGTTGCGTACTCCTTAAGAGAATCTGAGGTGGAACAGTCTCATCCCAAAACCATTCCCCACTCCCCTACTGGTCTGTGGAAAAATTATCTTCCACAAAACTTTTCCCTTATGCCAAAAAAGTTGAAGACTGCTGCTGTAGCATCCAAAATGATTAGATTCCCCTGAGTTACAGATCAAAGTTCCTAGGGGAAAGACATGGAGGATTAGTAGTAAGTAGGAAGCGAGAGACACCATGTGTTTTACTTACTGGCAATGCAGTGGATACCGTTTTGGGGATCTGATTGGACACTTTCCATGGGAATCTTTATAACTGAGGGAGGAGGGAACTGGGGCTGAAGAAAAACAGTGGGAAAAGAGGATAAACACCAACACAACAACTTGGCTTTCTTTCTTTCTTTCTTTCTTTTTTTTTTGAGACAGAGTCTTGCTTTATTGCCCAGGCTGGAGTGCAGTAGCGCGATCTCAGCTCACTGCAACCTCTGCCTCCTGGGTTCAAGTGATTCTCCTGCCTCAGCCTCCCGAGTAGCTGGGATTACAGGTGTGCACCACCATGCGCAGCTAAGTTTTTGTATTTTCAGTAAAGATGGGGTTTCACCGTGTTGGCCAGGCTGGTCTCGAACTCCTGACCTCGTGATCCCCCCGCCTCGGCCTCCCAAAGTGCTGGGATTACAGATGTGAGCCACCACGCCCGGCCAACAACTTGGCTTTCTTGCCAAGATGGAAAATGCATGCATGTGCAGTGCAAACCACCATTCTCTTCACCTCTAGACAAAACGGGTGCTGCAAACACCCTGGGGCCCACTGAGGGGGAATGGGCACAGTTAGCCTGCTGTCCTATACACACCATTGAACACAGCGCAACTCTTCCAGGAATGTCATCAAAACGGTTTTATCTGTCACAGCAACCAGTCACGTGGGAATGAACCTCACACAATAACTGTGTTACTATAAAGACAAGTAAAATGAATTTGTGTAAATTGAATCTTGTTTTTCCATTGATATATCATAATTCAGAGATTCTTTTTCCCAACCCTGTAATAGTTCTTGGCATGTGGTAGCCACTCAAATATTTATTGAAAGTATGACAACTAAGTGTCTTTAAAAGGCACGTAGTCTCTTTCTTTGTTTTCAGAACCCACCTTTACAAATCATCTACAAACACATGTATTATGGGACTCTTCCTGGAAAAGCACAGTGATTAGGGACTAGGGGAGTTCTGACTGATCAGAAGATGGTTTAATCATCACCAGCCAGTCAGAAGGGATTTGCCTTGAACATGTTTCATCTGCACGAGGCAAAATCACGAGAACAGGACAGGGTGGATGCAGGGACGTGAGTTTGGGTCAAACTGGGAGATTGGGAGGCAAGCAGAGCACGAGGAGATGGCACAGGCAGCTTAGCATATCAGAAACCAGCAAAGTCAGGAATTATTTTAATTCCTTCTTAGAAATGTAGCTACATGTCCATTTTGGGTAGGTCACTTCCTTTTGCGGGGACAGTTTCATCATATGTAATGAACACGTGAATTAAGAATCTTTGGCCGGGCGCGGTGGCTCAAGCCTGTAATCCCAGCACTTTGGGAGGCCGAGACGGGCGGATCACGAGGTCAGGAGATCGAGACCATCCTGGCTAACACGGTGAAACCCCGTCTCTACTAAAAAATACAAAAAACTAGCCGGGCGCGGTGGCGGGCGCCTGTAGTCCCAGCTACTCGGGAGGCTGAGGCCGGAGAATGGCGTGAACCCGGGAGGCGGAGCTTGCAGTGAGCTGAGATCCGGCCACTGCACTCCAGCCTGGGCGGCAGAGCGAGACTCCGTCTCAAAAAAAAAAAAAGAATCTTTCTGCCTCATGTTTAGTGATTCACTATTATTATTATTATTATTATTATTATTATTATTATTATTATTTTTGAGACGGAGTCTCGCTCTGTAGCCCAGGCTGGAGTGCAGTGGCCGGATCTCAGCTCACTGCAAGCTCCGCCTCCCGGGTTCACGCCATTCTCCGGCCTCAGCCTCCCAAGTAGCTGGGACTACGGGCGCCCGCCACCTCGCCCGGCTAGTTTTTTGTATTTCTTAGTAGAGACGGGGTTTCACCGTGTTAGCCAGGATGGTCTCGATCTCCTGACCTCGTGATCCGCCCGTCTCGGCCTCCCAAAGTGCTGGGATTACAGGCTTGAGCCACCGCGTCCGGCGTGATTCACTATTATTTCTGGACTGGCCCCTTGTCTGTTGACTCCCTGAGTGTTTTGGGGGTGAAATGGGAAGGGAGCATGGGAGAAGTGGGGCAGATGGGGCAACCATGTTGTCCCAGGCATCTGGGAAATGTAGTGTCTCCTTTCGGTCAGGATACCTGCCTCTTTCCCCATCTTTGTCCCCCGTACCCTAGGGAAAGGCACAAGCAAAACTTGTTCTCGGCCCCTTCTGCCTGTCTGGAGTCCAGTCTGCTTTTAAGTCCCCATTAGACACCTCTCCTCAAGTCTGCTCCACTCTCTGGAGGTCAGTCTTCATAACTTCCTTCCATGCTGGAGCTGCCTCCCGGCCCTTCCCGCAGGAACCCGCTTGCTGTGATCATAACCATAAAGCCCACAGTGATGGAAAGAGTGGGCATGGCCAATCACCTTTTCCCTGGACACGGAGCCTCATTCACTCTGGCCCACTCTGAGGATATTCACATAAACAGAAGAGCCCTCAGCACCCCAGATCAAGACAAGCAGATGCCCCAGCCCATCCTGGACTAGGCCTAGGCACTGCCACAGGCCGCCCAAGAAGCCACCCTCTCCCTAGCCCTGGCAAAAGTGGAGAGGACTCTCGATTTCTCCTCTGTGCCCCGGCCTCACATTTCCCCACCTCCTCATCACAATCCTCGTGCGCCCCTTTCTTTCTCTTCCTCTTCTTGTCTGTCTCCTTTTTTTCCTTCTCTGGGAGGATGTTGTCAATCCAGGCCAGGTCGTGCTGAGAAAAGATGAAATCCAGAAGCCTTCGCACGATGATGAGGCCCAGGATCTGTGGTGGGAAACGGGAGAGAGACTACAGTTTTGTGAGTTTAGAGAAAACTGTGGTCTTAATGCCCAAACTCAAGCATAGATTCTTTCCTCCCTCAGTCTGCTGAGTTCAGGGACTTTTTGTGGTGTCTTTGGAGCCATATCGAAGCTCCCATAAGCCATTATTCACCTTCCCTCCACCGTAGTTCCTCTCGTCTGGCCCCTCAGGTGAGTGACCATTCCTACCAGTGACCAAGAGGGACAGCCTGTGACAGCCGAAGTGGGGAGCCTCAGAAAGGCCATGGGCTGGAGAACTACAGTTATTCTTTAAATTAGTGGTTCTCAGCCAGGCATGGTGGCTCACGCCTGTAATCCCAGCACTTTGGGAGGCCGAGGTGGGCGGATCATCTGAGGTCAGGAGTTTGAGACCAGCCTGGCCAACATGGTGAAACCCTGTCCCTCCTAAAAATACAAAAATTAGCCGGGCATGTTGGTGAGTGCCTGTAGTCCCAGCTACTCAGGAGACTGAGGCAGAAGAATAGCTAGAATCCGGGAGGCGGAGGTTGCAATGAGCCAAGATTGTGCCACTGCATTCCAGCCTGGGTGACAGAGCAAGACTCCATCTCAAATAAATAAAATAAATACACAAATTAGTGGTTCTCAAACTTGAGCATGCATGACAGAGCAAGACTCCATCCCAAACAAATAAAATAAATACATAAATTAGTGGTTCTCAAACTTGAGCATGCACCAGGACCTGGAGCGCTTGTTAATACACAAATCACTGGATTCCCCCAGTTTCTGATTTAGCAGGTCAGGTAAGGCCCAAGAATTTATGTCTATCTCTACTCTGTACATTTGCCAAAACTCATAGACCCACCCATTGAATTTTACTGTATGCAAATTAAACAAAAAAAATCAATAGGTGGAGGGTGTGGGTCTTGCCTTGCCCTGCCCTGTCTGGCTATGTGCCCAGGGTCACTCTGCTCATGCTCTCTGAGCCTCATGTTCTCATCTGTAAAGCTGGGTTACTAGTGCTTCAGGGGCTGGTGTGGACTCAGTGGAACAGCACTCAGTAAATGCTAATCATGACTACTATTGCCTTTCCCTTCAACAGCTCTGAGGCCCCTGAGGGCACTTGGGGTGAGGATCTATCTCCCTTTCCCTGCAGTGGGGGTTCTCAACCCTGGCTGCACGTCTATATGCTCATCCGTGGACCTCATAAAAATACCAAAGTCTGGGTTTCCCCAGAGATTCTGATTGGATTGATCTGGGTTGATTGTCATGGGCAGCCAGGGTCAAGAACCATGGACTAGACCCCTCCCAGGAGTGTGCACTTCAAGTTCTCCTCAGTGTCCTTACTTTGGCCCCTACCCCGGAACCCTCAGGCCTTCACCAGGCATTTGCTGACACACTCCAGGCTCCTGGCAAGGGGGGCCTGGGTCACTGCCCTCAGTGAGTTATCTAGGTGGCCAGAGGCAATATGTTGTTGGCTTTGCGTTCTTTTCACTTCTTATTTTGGAGTAATTTCAAACTTATATAATATTTGCAAGAACAGTGAAAGAACTGTAACCTTTCCCTTGCTCAAGCTTTATATATACTGTCATTGGGTTTTGTTGTTCTTGATCTCTGACCCTCGTTCTTCCCCCGCCCCACTACTTCACTATTTAGCTTTTCCAATTTAGCTATCTTGAAGGGTGGAAAGATCTATATTTAGTACTCATCGACTTCTGAGACTGGTTGGAATTTTGGCAGTGGGAACTTGGTCTCCAGGTTGAACTGATTTGCTTTCTCCATCCCTCCCCAGAGCTGGGTGGCTCCTGCATTCTCGCTGAGCTGCTCTGACATTCCTTTTTCCGCCTCCTCTCTGCCCCACCCCACACCATCTGGCCTGGATGGCCACAACTCGAATCAGGTCATTCTGTGCCAGCCTCTGCGACCCAAGGGAGCCAGGTCACAGCTGATGGCACGGTAGAAGGTGGCGGGAGGGGAGGTTGCTATGCACCTCTGGGTTGCCCAGGCCAACCTGCCCGGCAGGAGAGGGAAGCCCGGGCCCACTTTACCATGACCGGGAAGATGATGGCAGCCACCGTGGATTTGAGGATCCAGAGCACCGCCAGGCAGAGGATCTGCACCAGGGTGAAGAGGTGGATCCGGCGCAGCGGCACGTGCCTCAGGAAGGCGTGGTCCGGCTGGTGCTTGGCCGGCATCAGGAAGAGCTTGCAGCGTTCCCAGAACTAGGTGGACAGCGTGGGCTCAGTCAGGCAGCTGGGCCCCAAGGGCCTGCTGGGCCCTGGGACTAGCGGAAGGGGTACCTGGGTGGGATCTCAGAGAGGGGAAGCCCCCTGCTCAGGCCTTAAGGGTGCATGGAACGGGGCCTGGAGGTGTCTAGGCGGATGCATAATGGGGTCTTAGAGAAGGGGTCCTGAGCCCCGGTCGAGGGGAACAGCCCTGGAGCTGGCCACAAAATAGACATTGTCCATATTCAAGGAAAGTGCAAGTTAATTGTAACACAAACTGTTTAAGAATTCTGGGATTTCACAGTAAATACAGAACAAAACAAAAATGTTTTCTTCTGCGTAGTTGCCTTAGGGAAGAGAAGGAGGTATAGTGAAATGCTCACTGGAGTCAGTTCCTTCTGGATTTTGAATTCTGACCCTCCAGTCCCCATCTGTAAAATGGGGATCAGAGGACTTAATTACATAGATTCAATTATGTGAGGCCTATGAAATGCCTAGCATATTTATTTTGCCTGGTAGTATCAGTCAGTGGTAGTACCATTATTACTATTATTCTTTCATTGAATTAGGACAATTGGGGACAACTGGGACAACTGAATTGGGGGTCTTGGTGACATGGAACCAGACATGGAATATTGACTCCAGATCATGCAGCCTGGGGAGTGAAAGCCTTACCTGGATGCCATTCAGGGAGGCCACGCCCATGTAGAGGAAGACTCCATACAGCACCGGCAGGGGGATGCACTAAAATGAGAGCAGAGCTTTGGATCGGCCTCTGCCTGGGTCGGGCCCTTGGCCACCCTGTTCTGGATGACAGTGTCTCCTGACCACAGAGGCAGCTGGGGAGCTGGATGTTTGGGGGAACCGAGAGTCAGCAGAACTGGGGTGTGGGCGGGGGTGGAGATGAGGGTCACTGGGGCTGTACTGCTCCTTCTCAGGCTGGCCCAGCATGCAACTGCTCTCCTGGCCCGGTCCCTCACTGCACTGTGCGGAAGCCATGTGGTCTGGCTGAAGAAATACCTTCTGGAAAGTGAGAAGACTCCACAGACTGCCCCCTCCTCATTCCTGCCAGCTCCTTCCTACCTCCAGCCTCCGGTGAGGGCCCCTAAAACTGCTCAGCCTGCAGGGGCATGGGGAACTTCAATGAGCTGACCTACATCGGCAGGGAGTACCTGGCACACTTAACAGAAATCACCCATCAGGCTGGGCATGGTGGCTCACGCCTGTAGTCCTAGCACCTCGAACACCTGAGGTCAGAAGTTCAAGACCAGCCTGGCCAACACGGTGAAACCCCGTCTCTACTAAAAATACAAAAAAATTAGCCAGGCATGGTGGTGCATGCCTGTAATCCCAGCAACTCAGGAGGCTGAGGCAGAAGAATCGCTTGAACCTGGGAGACGGAGGTTTCAGTGAGCTGAGATCGTGCCACTGCACTCCAGCCTGGGCGACAGAGACTCCGTCTCAAACAAAAAACAAAAAACACAGAAATCATGCCTCATACACAATCACATAAAACAGAAGCAGAACAAAAGTGTGTAAACTAATCAGCACTCATCACCAACTAACCACGAATAGTTTGGTGGGTACCCATCCCTCCAAACTTGCACACAGGCATTTTGTTTGCATTTTCAAAAATGGGATCATAGAATTCATCCCACTCTACAAGAATGATTCCAAATCTTTCACAGCCTTTCAAAGCATTTTTCTGCTGTCTGTCTCAGCTGTTTTTGCCCCTTGCCTTCTCTCCACCTGCAGCTGTGGCTCCCCATGGTGAGCGGAGGCTGCTCCTCCTTGTGGTCATATTACAGCACTCTGGAGAGCACAGAGCACTATGCCAACACTAGAAGGGCTTTAGAGGAATTTTTGGCCCCTAAAGAAGGCTGTTCTTGGATTTGAGGGGTTTTTTTGTTTTTTTTTTTTTGTTTTTTTGTTTGTTTTTGTTGTTTTTTTTTTTTTTTTGAGACAGAGTCTCACTATGTTGGTCATTCTGGTCTCAAACTATTGTCCTCAAGCGATCCTCCCACCTCGGCCTCCCAAAGTGTTAGGATTACAGACATGAGCCATCACGCCTGGCTGATTCGAAGGTTTTTTTTTTTTTTTTTTTTTTTTTTTTGAGACGGAGTCTCGCTCTGTCTTGCCCAGGCTGGAGTGCAGTGGTGCAATCTCAGCTCACTGCAGCCTCCACCTCCTGATCTCAACCAATTCTCCCGTCTCAGCCTCCTGAGTAGCTGGGACTACAGGCGTAAGCCACCACACCCGGCTATTTTTGTATTTTTAGTAGAGACAGGGTTTCACCATGTTGGCCAGGCTGGTCTTGAACTCCTGCCCTCAGGTGATCCACCTGCCTCGGCCTCCCAAAGTGCTGAGATTACAGGCGTGAGTCACCATGCCCGGCTAAGACTGTGCCTTTTTTAGGGGGCTGATACGCCCGTGATCCCTAGCCATGTGGGGACCCCCTCCCTCCCTGAGGCATCCACTCTGCTTTCTCAGGCGACGAGGCCCTAGGTGAGAGTGCAGGACCTCACCTTTAGGATGGGAGCCAGGAAGACAGAGATTCCCGTCAGGATGAAGACGATGATGCCGGTCACTCTCTGTTCCCTGGCAGAGAAGAACACATTGTCAGAGTGTACCAGGAAATGCCTGGTGACCACTCCGGCCCTCCTGCTCACTGTGGGCACCTGAAGTTTGTGTCCAAGGCCATGGCCTCGAGGGCTTCTGTGTGGAGCTCTGCCTGGTTGCCTGAGGCCCAGCTGAACCATATGTGGGAAGACAGGCAGCCCCCAAGGCATCTTGCAGGGGCATTGAGGGAGGCCGCTTAGTGTAGTGGCTCGTAGCTGGGGTGCTTGAGCAGAACTGATGTGGGCTGGATCCTGGCTCTGCCACTTGCCAGTTATGCGGCATTGGGCAGGAGCCTGCCCATCTTCAGCCTCAGTATATGCAGATAATAATGGCACCTATTGTTGCGAGGATACATGCAAGATAAAATGCTATTACTCTGCTCTTTGATTTTAAGATTTCACTTTTGTGGGGCACAGTGAATGAGGATCTGGAGAAGGGGACACCAGCAGAGCAGGTGTCAGGGGTGGGAGGCAGGTGAGCCCTGCAGTCGGGCAGAGAAGCGTCATTCGGGCAGGCTGGGTGGCCCAAGTATCCCAAGATAGTGGGAGAAGTTCTTAGGGCAGCCACGTAGGTGAATGCCAGGGTTTGGTGTGGTCTCACCCTGGAGGCCCTAAGGGGCTGAAGATACACTTCTCTGCCTACCATGGGGTGTAAGAGAAGGGGCAAGTGAAGGAACAGGAGTGACAGGCAGGGCCATAGACCGGGGAGTGGGGGTGATCCTGGGAAAGCCTTCTGGAGGAATGGAGACTGAGCAGGACCTGAACCCACAAGAGGGCCATCAGGGCAGTAGGGGCCTGGAGAGTCTTGAGGAAGAGAAAAAGAGCAGGACAGCATGAGGCTTTGTGGGGACCTTGGGTGGCCGATGCAGATGAGTGTCTGGCACGTGTGCATGTTTATGGATGGGATATACATACTGCTTGGAGCCCAGTAGGTAAAAAGCCCCACTTAGACTTGGACTTCTGTCTCTCTCCTTCCCTGCCTCCAGGGATAGCACTCATGTCCCTGTGGTTCTTGGGCCATCAGAGCCCAAATTCTTTTGTGGCAGGCAAAGCCAGCTTCCCCTCCCCGAGTGGGCCCCTCCCCGTTGGGTGATTCCTAGGCCCTGACCCTCCTACCTGACTCCTAGGAACTGGGGCTGCTCCCCAGGGGCGCTGGTCTCTGTCTCCATCTTGAGGCTGTCGATGTGGGCGATGGAGATGACCGTGGCAGCCACGTACCAGGGAAGCCCCATAAAGGAGCACAAGGCCATGAGGATGCCCACCCAGAACAGGTCCAGATGGTAGCCAGCAGCCTTCTGCAGGAGTGGGGTGGGGGTGGGGGAGGGAGAAGTTTCTGGGAAGCCAGTTCCTCCTGGAAGCAGCCACTCTGTGGAACATGGTTCAAGGCCCTCCTGCCTTCCAGAAGATACTGAAGGGGCCTGAGGTGCTCCTTGCAAGGATTGCAGAGGTGGGCAGGTCCTACCACCCCATCTGAAAGGGTGAACTGCCTAAGGGACGTGGGTCGTAGAAGAGAGGGATGTTCAAGCTTGGAGAGGCCCTGGGTTTGGGTCTCCGGGGAGAAGGGCCCAGAAGGTGGCCACAGGGTCTCTACAGTTCCTGAGGGGCCCCAGCTGGGACAGGCCACACCTAGAGTGGTCCAGACCGGGATGGGGGAGGGGGTGACCCGAGTCTTCTCAGGCTCACAGGCTGGACGGGGAGTTGCAGAGACCAGGAAGGCCAAGGAAGTTCCTCTGCCTCAGTGTTCTAGGCTGAGCCCCCATCAGGATCTGCTGATTCTCATAAGAACTTGATGCCACTTTGGGAAAGACAGAGAGCCTGTGCCCAGTGGCCCAACCTAGTTTGGTCCTGGTGCTCAGAAAGTCACTCCAGCCCTGGTGGCCTTACCCACACCTGGAGGTCACTTTTCCCCCTCAACACACCAAGTGGGAACTCCAGTCTTCTGTCCTCATATTTTCCTGGCCCAAAGTACTGAAAGAAGCATCATGTCCTCCCTTCGCTCCTTCTGACTTTGTGGGAAGAAAGAGGTTATGCCTCTGCTCCTAGTACCGGCCTTACCTTCAGTTTGTTCTCCTTCCGGTTGACAATGACGGCAGTGATCTGCTGGTCCATGAAGATCAGGATGGTCACCAGCAGGGCGGGCAGGATGCTTGCTGGGTACACCCACCACGGGTTCTTCCCAAAGGGGGCCACGAACCAGCCTCGGTCAGGCCGTGTGGGCTGAATGGGAGCAAACAGAGAGGGGCCCTTTCCTCTCTCTCTTGTCCCAGGGCACTTGCTGCCTGGCCTGCTGTCCCACCTCCTCAACTTTCCCTGACTTTGGGTACTTTTCAAGTGCAATCTTTTCCCTTAAACACCTTAGGTACCTGCAACTTTAGACTAAATTCAGACATGGGAAGGAGCATGCACTCAAACAGTGTCTGTAAAACTAAGGAGGTAATTTGCTGCAACAGCCCTGGGGTTGGTCAGGAAACATGGAGGTGAAGGTCAAAGGGCAGCCAGGAGAGAGAGCACAGTCACCCACTGCAAATAACAAACAGCAGGAATGAGGCCCAACAGAAAAGAATAAAGAAATGGGTGGGCCCAGGGCCAGCTGCTTCTGCCTCTCCTGAGTCACCTGTCTGGGAGCATTAAAGAATTGTCTGTAAAACGCTGAACATCAGTTCAGTCCTGCATGTTAAGAATGAGGAGAATATATAAAAAGACTTTGTCTCAAAAAACAAACAAACAACAACAACAAAAAAACCTTAAAGACAGGGAGGGTAAGTTCTAGAATCTGGACTCCCTACTCTGGTGAGATGGTTGGTGCTCTTTTTTTTCCCTTCTTTCTTCTTTTCGTTTTTGAGATGGAGTCTTGCTCTGTCACCCAGGCTGCAGTGCAGTAGTGCGATCTCGGCTCACTGCAAGCTCCACCTCCCAGATTCACGCCATTCTCCTGCCTCAGCCTCCCCAGTAGGTGGGACTACAGGCGCCCGCCACCACGCCTGGCTAATTTTTTTGTATCTTTAGTAGAGATGGGGTTTCACCGTGTTGGCCAGGATGGTCTTGATCTCCTGACCTCGTGATCTGCCCACCTCAGCCTCCCAAAGTGCTGGGATTATAGGCGTGAGCCACTGCACCTGGCCGGTTGGTGCTCTTATGAGGGAGTAGGGCTGAGTTTAGCTACAAGCATATGTCACCAATTCTAGACTAGTGGGTAATTTCTAAGCAGTGGTTCTCAAACTTGAGCATACTCCAAGTCACCTGAAGGGCTTGTTAAAATGCAGATTGCTGGTCCCACCCCCCCCCCCCCAGCTTTTCTGATTCCACAGGTGGGGCTGAGAAATTGCATTTCTAACGAGTTCCCCATGACTGTGATGCTGTGATATTGGTCTGAGGACCACATTTTGAGAATCACTGTTCTAAGGGACCAGTTTCAATAGATCCTATTTGGCCCAGCTTATAGATTGCCAGAGGTTAGGGAACTGGAGACCCTCAAACAGGAATCAAGAGGCTTCTGCTGGATTGGAGGGTGAATTTCAGTGCCTTCCTCACCTCAAGACTACAGATCAGGATTTCCCGGTGAATATGTTACCCCTCCCCGCCCTACCTCAAAGGACCAGCTCCTGGGAGCCAGTGTTCAGGAAAGGTGGCACACAGAGAACTAAAATGGTCTCTTGACTGAGAGGAGAAAAGTTTGATCAGCACAGAGGGGAAAGAATCTACAGCTGGTAGGCAGGCAGACTGGATGCCCAGAGTGGGGGCAAGGGGCAAACCTTGATGACACTGGGCACATGCAGCTTGGGGGTTTCCAGGCCAAAACAGGCATCGATTCCACAGAACATCAGGATGGAGAAAACAATGGAAAAGTCAGCCACCAGGGCCCGGACCTGCAGACAGGAGATGAGCAAGTGAAAGAAGTGAGTAAAGCACCCACCCAGCTCCAGGCAGCCCCAGTCCCCAAGCAGCAAAGAGGTGAACTGTTAAGTCTGGGCTCTGAAGGCACCAGAACTAGGCTCAAATCCGGGCTCTGCTCCTCGCTAACTGTGTGAGCTTGGGGAAGCGTGTCATCTCTCCAAGCCTCAATTTCCTTCTCTGTAAGATGGAGATGATGGTAGTATCTCCCTCAAAGGTGTAACTGAACTGTGACACATTTCGAGTGCTTGGCATATGGTGATCAATGTGGGAGCTGTTATGATCCATGTGGCCATGGCAGCCGCTGCTGAAGATGTGTTCTGGTATGACAGTCTGAATTGGGGCACCCAGCAGGTATGATGAGGGCAAGGGCTGAACTCTGAAGCAAACCTTAGTTCCTACAAATCTGTGACAGGTTGTTGTACCCCACCTGGGCTGGGAGGGAGGCTCCTCAATTCCACTGGGGACCATTGACTACTCTCAGACCTTTTGTCCACCAGGAGCCTCTTGTTCCTCTGTTTCTCAGGAGGCCCTTCCTAGGCCAGGTTCTTAACTTGGAGGCCCTTCCCAGACCAAGTCCTGAACCTGACCTTCCTGCCCATTCTGAATCAATGTCCTCTGACCCCCCCTCCAAACCAACTTATGTCCAGAAGTCTCAGGACAGAAGGTCCCCCAACGTCTACCCTGTGGCCTTTTTATATATCTTTTCAGAGAAGGCAATTTGAAGGGCAGGGGCAGGTGACAGTACATTGACTTCATTCCCTGCATCCCCCTTTTCTCTTTAAATTTGTTATTAACATAATATATATAATTGGTTAAAAACTCACATAGTGGAGAAGACTTATAGGGAAAAGCAAAGTCTCCCACCTCCCCTTTTCTCAATCCAGCCCCACCTTCTAGATCCATCTACTATGTCTGCTTGATTTTACTTGTTCTGGAGGTTCCCTCCATGTCATTAACTAATATGCATATACTTTAATATTTTCATTTACTAACTTAAGGGATTATCTATTGATAAGAATTTCCCTTTACTTACACTATGCCTCCTGTCCTTTCCTTATTCCTAATCTTTGATAATTTTAAGCTCCTATGGGTTTCCTTTATACTTTCAAGTTACATAATCAAACCTCTCTTTACATTAGCTTTGGCTAATATCTCTCATTCTCCATCTTGCAAGGTGAGGACCACTGCCTCTGTCCTCCTACCACCTCTCTCCTCCTCCTCCCCTTCCTTCCTGTGACAACTCCACTTTGATCTTTCCATTGTCGAAGCTGAGAACACTCATGTCTTGTTCTGTAAACACATGGTTTGTGTGTTTTATCTGTAAGTCAATTCCAAAAGTTGAAAATTAGTAACAGCTTTATATTATCATGATCATATAAATATTAGTCACAGTAGAACCAAGCAGTGTGCTAGGTTTATACTTCCTTTTCTATAATATTTCTAGCATAGACGTCAAAACCATATGAATGGTTATTAAGTTAAACCACATGAATTTGCCTTTTTTTGTAGGTCGAAACAGTCAAATATGGGCAACTTCACATGGTCCAACCTAATCAGAGAGTGTCAGTTGCTCTCCAAATTGGATGTATCTGTTTACACTCCCACCTACTGCTTTCTATCTCCAACATCTGGTGTCCCAACACCTTCATCTGTCTACCAATCTGATGAGTATGAAATGGTGTGGCCTCATTCCTCTCCGCAACCCAAAATTCCAGGAGGCAATTGAGCAATTTTTAAGTAATGTGAGGGAAAAAATGTTGGTGGCGCAAGAACTCCATGCCACACGAATTACTTTTCATCCTACAGGCAACAGATAGATATTCTCAGATACAGTGACTGCTTGAGAATTTTTACATAAAAGGAGATAGGGATATGCTCTGGGCTGGAAGTGGGCAGGAAGGAAGAGAACTCGTCTTAAGGATGCACTCGTGTTGTAAGCAAACTATTTTTTACTCAGTTTACATACTGCAAAGCTTCCTAAAGCACCTTTTATTCAGTCTTTAGAAAATTTGGGAAAAATTCAACTATTTATATCAAAGATTTTATCATTATGATTAGTAGTAGTAGCAGTAGCAGCTGTAATACTTAGTTAAGATGGCTTTAGGAGAGTGCTAATGGAGTTTATGGTGGGAAAGAGTTGCTAAAATTCTTCTGAGTACCCCCCACCCCACAGCACAGTCACTGTTTACATATTCAAGTGCTGTTTTAATAAATGTTTTATTCCAGCCACAAACTGGTAGAAAATAAAATTTAAAACAGCAGTTAGGGCCAGGTGCAGTGGCTCACAGCTGTAATCCCAGCACTTTGGGAGGCTGAGGTTGGGGGATCACCTGAGGTAAGGAGTTCAAGACCAGCCTGGCCAATATGGTGAAACCCCATCTCAACTAAAATTACAAAAATTAGCCGGGCGTGACGGCAGGCGCCTATAGTCCCAGCTATTTGGGAGCCTGAGGCAGGAAAATCACTTGAACCTGGGAGGTGAAGGTTGCAGTGAGCCAAGATCATGCCACTTCACTCCAGCCTGGGTGACAGAGTGAGACTGTGTCTCAAAATAATAATAATTATGATTATATGATTATAATTATTATTTTTATCATAAAATAAAAAATAAAATAGCAGTTAGCATTTATGACAGTATAAAAAAATCAAGTATCTAGAAATAAATCTAACAAAAAATGTTCAAGACTTCAAGATCAAAATTTATAAAACATTATGGAGAGAAAGAAGACCAAAATAAATGAAGTATACCGTATTCATAAATCAGAAAACACAAAGTTTGAAAGACATCAATTCTTCCCAAACAGAGTCAAAGATAATCCTATCAAATTCGAACAAGTTTTCATTTTGGTGAAATTTAAGATGATTCTAAAATTCATGTGGAAATGCAAAGGGCCAAGAAAATATTATATAAAAAGGACAAAGAGAGAGAGAGTTTGGGAGACAAAGATATAAAGACTTATAAGCTACAGAAATTAAGACTGTCATACTGATATATAAATAAACTAATGAAACAAAATAAGCAACCCAGAAACAGACCCTGTCATATAGGAACATTTGATATATGGCAAAGGAAGTATTGCAAAGCAATGGAGAAGGAATAGTCTTTAAAAAATAGTGGAACAATTGACCGTATAAAATCACAAAGAAACACTATCTCACAGTACACATCAAAATCAATTCTGATGGACTGTAGATCTAACATGAAAGGAAAAACAATAAAGCTTTTAGAAGGTAACATACAAGAATATCTGCTGTCCAATATTTGCCTTGAGGAAAGTTTGAATATTCAATTACAATAAAACTAATAATTTCTTTTAATCAAAAGATACCATTAAGGATGTAAAAAGAAAAAAACGGTCACAGAGTGGGAGATTTCACAACACATATAATCACAAAAACATTTCTACCCAGAATATATAAAAAACTCTTGCAAATCAGAAAGGCAGACAACCCAAAATGTGCAAGGGATTTCAACAGACACTTCCAAACAGAAAGTCAACTGGCCACATGGCCAATAAACACAGGAATAGCTGTGCTTTCAACTTCATTAGTCATCAGGGAAACGAAACATTTTTAAAACACAATGAGATAATACTATAGACAAAGACTAAAGATAAAAGCCTGACGATACCAAGTGTTGTCAAGGGGACCGGCCAACAAGGGAACACAGTTCTCTCTGACTTAACTTGAAAAACCCCAGTGGTCCAGTGCTCATGTGGAGTCCATCCATGGGTGGACCAGAACCCTCTCTTGGGGACTCAGCAGCAGTCTGACTGCAGGTCCCCTCCTAACTGCAGGGTGAGCTTACCTTGGTAGGAAAATAGCGGCTGAATTTGAACTTCTTCAGGGTCAGGGTCATGGAATATGTCCCAAAGAAAAGGATGAAGGACATGAGCGCCAGGTCTGGGATAAACTTGCAGGAATTCCCAAGCAGGCGCCCGCCATAGCTCAGACACTCCTTCTTGCTCAGCAGGGACCAGTCCAACGCTGTGAGGTTAAGGGGGTTGTACTTGGAGACCAAGCACAGGAGACAATGGGTCAGCATCTTCCTGATGAGTCAGCTGTGTCCTTCCCACTGCAGTCCCCAGGCAGCCAGCAAACCTTCCCACACCCTCTGAGGGATCCCAGCCCTTCCGGCCATGATGGTGTCCTCAGCAACACAGTGATGTTCCTGGGGACGGGCTGGTTCACGGAATGACAAGCTCCCTGGGAAGATTAGGAGCTCACATGTGTTTCTTCCCTGTGTTCTAGGATGCACTGCTGTGCTAGTAAGGAGGAAAAGTGCAGAGAGAGGATGCCTTCTCCCTCAGCAGGCCTGGCTCCCATCAACCAACCACAGGTCCTGTGGACGCTTCCTTCCTGGAGTGTCTCATCTTTATTCTCTCCCCTCCATCCCCTCTGTCACATCCTTTCACATAGGGGGGATCACATCCCTTGTCAGTCCCCTCTTGGGTCATTTCAGCCATTCCCCACCTTGGTGTCTCAGATGCCTAAAATCCAGGCCGTACACAACAGTGAATTTTTATATATAAATTATTTTTATATATAAATTATATAATCTATAATTATACATATTAATTATATAATATATAATTATACAATTTTAATATAAATTATATGTTATATATAATATAAATCATATTATATATATAAAAGTAAATCACCAAAGCAACTTAAAATGTCCCCTCCAGGGTGGCATTCCTCTGCTGCCCTCACTGGTCTGGCCCCACATCTCTTTCCCAGCTTGTCTCTTGTGGTTGCCTGTCCAAGCCCCACCTTCACCCCGTCTTAGCTGGCCTAGCCCACCCACTAGCCTCTGCACGGGTTTTGTGCTTTTCCTCTCTTGCCCTTCTGTTTATGCTGTTCCTTCTGTCTGGAATGTGCTTTTCTCTGCTGAGTCAACTTTTTCCCAACCTTGAAGACCAGATCGCATTCTACTTCCTCTTTGAGGCTTTCCTTGGCCTCTCCAGCAGCCTCCTTTCCTGCCTTCAAGACTGAAGTACACATTTGGCCTATATTTAATGCATGGTGTATTCTGCTTATACTGTCCCACAACTTTTCAAGTTCTTCTCCACAAATATATTAAAAACAAAATTGAGGACAGGGACCACGTTGGTTTCTCAGATGTCTTTTTTAGCCTTCAGTGTACATGGCCCCTTGCATATAATAGGGACTCAGAAATAGGCACTGACTGATTCTGTTCTTTCTCTCTCAAAATTGATAGTTAGCCAGCCTGGGCAACGTAGTGAGACCCTGTCTCTACAAAAAATTTAAAAATTAGCCAGGCATGGCGGCTGATGTCTGTAGTCCCAGCTACTCAGGAGGCTGAGGCAGGAAGATCACTTGAGCTCAGGAATTTGAAGCTGCAGTGATGATATGATCACACCACTACATTCCAGCCTGGGCCACAGAGCAAGACCCCATCTCAAAAAAAAAAAAAACAAAAAAAAACAAAAACAAAACCCTGATCTTTGAAAAATATTAAATTAAATTGCCAACTGGGATGTGCGTAGGCAGAGCAGTCAATTGCCTAGGCAGGAATAACTGAAGAAGCAACCTTGGAGACAGTAAAAGCTCACAAACGTCCCCCAAGTCCTACCAGGTGCTACATTCATCCGGAATTGAACTTCTATCGTTAAGCCACTTAGGCTGGGATGCTGGTTCCTAAAGACCACCGTCATTACTGGGAAAGGCAGACCACACCTTAGGCCCCAGAGACTAAGGTGTGCAAAGAACACGTTAGGTTCATTGAGGAAGAAACACTAATAAACTTTCTGGGGCTGGAGAGTGGCACTGTTGGAAATTGGGGGTCCTAGGCAGAAAGAGAAGGAAGAAGGCAAAAAGATGAATGGGAGGCTTTGCTTACAGCTTTGTGCGGCCCTATTTACCATCCCTCACCTCTACCTTCCCTTCCTCTGTGTGTGTGTCATATTATTATTATTATTATTATTATTTTTGAGACAGGGTCTCGCTCTGTCACCCAGGCTGGAGTGTAGTGGTGCGATCTTGGCTCACCACACCTCTGCCTCCTGGGTTCAAACAATTCTTGTGCCTCAGCCTCTCGAGTAGCTGGGATTACAGGCGTGTACCACTACACCTGGCTTGTATCATATTATTAGTACACATGGGGCTGGGTGCGGTGGCTCACTTCTGTAATCCCAGCACTTTGGGAGGCCGAGGCAGGCAGATCAGTTGAGGTCAGGAGTTCGAAACCAGCCTGGCCAACATGGTGAAACCCCGTCTATACTAAAAATACAAAAAATTAGCTGGGTGTGGTGGTGCGTGCCTGTAATCCCAGCTACTCAGGAGGCTGTGGCAGGAGAATTACTTGAACCCAGGGAGGTGGAGGTTGTGGTGAGCCAAGATCGCACCACTGCACTCCAGCCTGGGCAACAGAGTAAGACCCTGTCTCAAAAAACAAAAACACACAAAAAACATGGATTTAACAGAATGAGGCATGTTTTTAAGTGGGATGTTTACAGTATATACCTAAGAAAAAAGTTTGCATCTACAAAGCTCTGCAGGTGACCCTGACGTGAGGTTGGAGCTGACCTCTGCAAGTCTGGGTGGCTATAAGTTGGTCTCATTTCCAAATTCTTTTCTCCCTCCTCCTACAAACAAAAGCACTCAAATGTCTGACATGAGAGGAAAGGACTTACCAGAGAAGCGTTGGTGTCTGGTGCCAGTGGGGCTGAAGCATTGAACATGGTTGTATTCACTGTGGATGAGCACATGACACGGGGCAGGGTCAGCAGCTGTGGGGCTGGAAGCCGCATTCCCAACCCCTTCGCATCTCCTTCCAGTTCCTTAGAGCCAAGGCCTGGCTTCCACTGTGAGGGCAGCTCCCTCTCCACCTTCCTCACTTTGCCCCAGTTAGGGAAGGGCTGGTGGGACCGAGCCTGGGACACAGCTCTGACAGACCAGCTGGGCCAGGAGAGCACCCGCCTGATGACGAACAGCTGGTTTTAAAAACTGAAATAAGGAATCTGGGACCAAGACAAAGTGCTAAGACAAACTGGAGGATAACGTGCCTTGTGAATCCCCACTGGCCACTGGGCTTTTAGACTTAAAAATGTTCAAAGAACTTACTCTATGCCATGCACTATGCCAAGCCTTTATATATATTCATTTGTTTAAATCCCAAATCTTCACCAAGTATGCCCACTTTACAGATGAGGTAACTGAGGCCCAGAGAGGTTATATAATTCACCCAAGGTCACACAGTTCATACTTGGAGCCATGACCCCATCCCAGGAAGGCTGGCCCAGAGCCTATAAACTTCCCAGCTCTACACTGTGAACTTCCCTGCCCTGTTCACCTCCACAGATATGTTCCTTCCCTTCCAGCCCTCTTTTTTGCCCAGGCTGGAGTGTAGTGGCATGATATTAGCTCACTGCAACCTCCACCTCCCAGGTTCAAGCGATTCTTGTGCCTCAGCCTCCCGAATAGCTGGGACTACAGACGCATGCCACCACGCCTGGTTAATTTTTTGTATTTTTAGTAGAGATGGGGTTTCACCATGTTGGCCAGGCTGGTCTTGAACTCTTGACCTCAAGTGATCTGCCCATCTCAGCCTCCCAAAGTGCTGGGATTACAGGCATGAGTCACTGCACCCAGCCCATATGTGCTTTTTATTAAAGGTCAGCTAGGCCTGAAAGAACTTGTTGCTTTGATATTATCGTTTCTAATCTGCCAAGTGCAAGTTGAGAAAAGTTAAAGCAAAGTCCAGGTTTTGAAGCAGAATTGGGAACCCAAAGGTGCTGCTCTCAGCGGCTCTCTCTGCATTCCTTGATGGATACTTCCCTACCCTGGCTTCAGTGTCCCTAACCGTATGTGGATCACATGAAGGTCTACAGGGAGAGTTTCAAGGAAACACAGTCATCTGTCTCTCCTTTCCACGTGGACCCTTCTGTTCCCCTGTTCTGCAGTCTGTCCTGCTTCCTTTGCTCCTCATTCGCAGGGCCAGGCTCCCCCGGGATGTGGCGACCCATGGGAAATCGGGCTTTGGAGGCCTGCTGCCTTCTCTCTTCTTCTTGAACTGCAAGGGTAGAGGCAAAGGCCAGGCCCGCCTCACCATCCTCCTCTAGTGAAGGCAGAGGCAAGCAGTCCCTCTGCAGCAGGTCTGCGGAGACAGGGAGCAGGCCTGCCAGCCAGCTTGCCAGCAATATGTCTGAAATGCAGTGTAAGCCCGATGTGGCTCCTGCTGGCTGACACAGGCAGTTAGAAACCCAGAAAGAAGAAGAGGTCTATCTTCGGGCTTCTCCCAATCTCCAACAAGCTGTCCATAGGGCTGATGTGACCACAGAGCCCTGCTATGTTGCTCACTCCCATGCCTGCTGGGGGTCTAAGGAATTTCATTTTGACCCAGGGCAGAATATTCCTAGAAGCTCTACAAACCCAGAGGTTTGTTAGGATTGTTCTGAGGAAGGCTTCATTTATTAGAAATTGGGGTTCTATTGCCTTTCCTCACATCAGTGACCAAAAGAACATGATGCGCAATTAATGATGGCGACAGAGAAGCCAGGCAGGAAGGCTGCCTCAGGGGTCCTCACTCAAATGCTAGAGAACTCCTGGCTGATGCTTGAGCCTGGGGAGTTCAGATGTCTTTTTCACTACCCAATGTCTTCAGACCACCTTTGATGTCTTCTGCTTATGCTTATCAATTCTTTTATATCAAGAACTCTGTAGGGTTTATCTGAAAGCCATTTGAGATGAAGATGAAAGAAATATAACCTGGAAAATTTTAGAAAGGGTCCACGTATCAAACATTTTAAAATTCCAGTGTTTACAAAGTGGTACTCACTTGGGATTGAAAGCAGCCAAATCAGTGTGTGCAGCATTCATAAATAGAATACAAATCAGTTACAATGGAAGCAAAAGCAAACAGAAAGAGAGTGCCCCCAAACAAGCTTTTATGATGAAGAGTGACAAAGAGTGAGAGTATACTATATTAAGACTGGGCCTCGCAGTAAAACTAGGATTATGAGTAGGTGGCCCATGGACTGGGAAAGAAACCTTCCACAGTTCGTCCCCCTCATCCCCGTCTCCTAAATGTGTAGAATTTTCCTTTCCATGTTATCTTAATTAAAACTAACTTGTCCTAGTTCTAGTTCCTTTACTTTCTGTGAAGAAACTGAAAATTTAATCTTACTGGGGTTTAATGGTCAATAATGGCCCATTATTACTGATAGTTCAACAGAGCGATGGTTCTCAAACTTAAGAGTGCATCAGAATCAATTGGAAGACTTAATATACGTCAGGGTGAACCCTACTCCAGAGTTCCTTCCTTCCTTCCTTCCTTCCTTCCTTCCTTCCTTCCTTCCTTCCTTCCTTCCTCCCTCCCTCCCTCCCTCCCTCCCTCCCTCCCTTCCTTCCCTCCCTCCCTCCCTCCTTCCCTCCCTCTCTCCTTCCCTCCCTCCCTCCCTTCCTTCCTTTTTCTTTCTTTTCTCTTTTCTTTCTCTCTTTCTTTCTTTCTTTCTTTCCTTCCTTCCCTTCCCTTTTTCTTTCTTTCCTCCTCTCCTCACCTCTTCTCTTTTCTTTCTCTTCTGCTTCTGCTGCTTCTCTCTCTCTCTCTGTCTCTCTCTCTCTCTCTTCTTTCTTTCTTAGAAATAGAGACAGGGTCTGGCTATGTTGTCCAGGCTGGTCTCAAACTCCTGGGCTCAAGTGATCCTCCTACCTCAACCTTCTGACTAGCTGGGACTACAGGTGTGCACCACTGTGCCCAGCCAGAGATTCTGATTCAGCAGGTCTGGGGTAGGAGGCTAAGAATTTGTATTTCTAACAAGTTCCCTGATGCTGCTGGTCCAGGGACCACATTTTGAGAACCATGACAATAGCATGACCCCAAAGAATGAGGTGACATCAGGCACCTGGGCAAAGCCAGAGGGGAAGCCATTTGGGAACAGGTGGCTTCATTATATCCCTCATAACGCACCTTATATGCTCCTACGGCCCTTGTTCCTAGAGCACCCCTGGGTTTGTTTTTTCCTGTGGATAGATGATTCTCAGAATGGCCAAAGCAGCCAGGTGTGGTGGCTCACGCCTGTAATCCCAGAAATTTGGGAGGCCGAGGCAGGCAGATCATGAGGTCAAGAGATGGAAGCCATCCTGGCCAAAATGGTGAAACCCTGCCTCAACTAAAAATACAAAAATTAGCTGGGTGTGGTGGCAAACACTTGTAGTCCCAGCTATTTGGGAGGCTGAGGCAGGAGAATCGCCTGAACCCAGGAGGCGGAGGTTGCAGTGAGCCGAGATCACACCACTGCACTCCAGCCTGGGCGACAGAGCCAGACTCTGTCTCAAAACAAAACAAAACAAAACACAGAATTTGAATTTTTTTCTAAAAGAGATCAAGGATGTGTGCTTCTAGAAGCTATGTTTGTGTAAAATTTATGCCAATGCAACACTGAATCTACAGTCTAGAAGATACAAGCACGTAAGAGGGCCCTGATGGGGCTTCCCCACAGAGGCAGGATTTGCTCCAGGGCAGAATGAAAAGGGCCTGCCTGCAGGTAGGATCCCCTCTGGGCAAGCGACATGCCTTGGCTCAGGACAAAGGGTAGCATCACCTGTCATTAGATTTTAGTGGAATAATTCAAAATTAATGGCAGAAAAAGAGAAAGAAAAAAATAAGTCTGGACTTCTTTACAAAATCAGTGCAGTCACAGAGGGAAGGGTTATAATCAAAACTGAACTCCTTGAAGGCAGGACATCTTTATCTTCCACAAGGCCTAAAGTAGGGCACATAATAATTGTGCAGCAAATATTTTCCATTTCAAATATTATGATTGATTTTTTTACCTGTAGGAATGTATTAAGGGGCTGAACAACCTACTATCCACTTAATTCCTTCAACTCAATCGGGTATAGATTTGGAAACCCCACAGGAGTCCCAGGAGACCAGCAGGGCCTGCATTGAGAGCCCTCTTTTACAGCCAGGGAAACTGAGGCTTGGCATGACCTTGGGTGGTCTCTGGACCTCAGTTTGCTCTCTGTGAGTCCAGCCTTGGTGCTTGGAGATGTGTACATAGACTTCCTGCTCCTGCTCTGCAGCACCCTGGGCACTCTGGGCACATCCCACTGAAGGCTCTTAGGGGCATGATCATGACTATGAAGGAGGCTCAGACTCTATGGGAAGCCCTAACTCATAGATGACAGGTGTTTTGGCCAGAAAGTAACTCTACAGGAGTGGCACTGGGTGTTATCAGGTTGACCCCATCTGTACAGGGATCCTTTTTTACAACACCCTTGGCAGATGGACATCCAGAGAGTGTCCAAGTAACTTGCTACCAACCAAGCAGGCCGAGAACTCCCACGGTGGTTAACTCCCACCATTATAGGTTCTTCCCTAAATTCAGCCAGCATCTGGCTCCCTGGAGTTTCTGCTCCCTGTTCCTCATTCGGCTCTACATCCTGTGGCTTCAGAGGGTGAACACGGTTCCTTTGTGACATGACAGTCCTTCTCTCATAACTCATCTCCCTAAGAGGCTGAATAAGCCCCAGTTTTCCAACTGTTCTCAGATGGCATGGTCGGCAGAGCCTCCACTCTGGACATCTTTCCATCTGTGTGGATGTCCATCCCTCAGGTGTGGTCTCACCTTACACGGTATGTGGCCACATGGGCAGCACTGTCTTGGGGAGAGCTCATCGTATCATGACTTGATGGAGCTGGGAGAGACTTCAGGCACCATCAGGTCTATCTCTGGCCTGCAGCAGGAACCCCTGAGTGGCACTCCCGATAGGTGTGGCCTCCACATTACCCCACACTGAGGCAAAGCATGCCTTACTCCTTCCTGGGGTATCCCTGTGCCCTCCTGATGATAATCCTGTGACTCTTATTAGAGCTACTGTCCCCTTGGTTTCCTTCTGAACACTGGGTTCAAGATCCTGTATTTGCTCCCTTGGAACAGTAAGCCCTTGGCTGAATGGCCCCTCCCCAGCAGTGGGATTAGAGAGCTGTGGTGAAGGATCAGGGGGCCGGTGGGGTAGGTGAGGGCCCACGGCATGTCTGGGGTTACCGGTCACCTGTGTCAGGGGCGACGCACTCGCACTTGTAGGTGGTGATAAAGTTCGGCTTGAAGTCCATATTGATAGGGTAGTACTTGAAGGCACCGATCATCTTCTTGATGGCATCATAGATGAAGATGAAGCTGATGAGGGTTGAGAAGCCCTCCTCGGTGAAGCGGGTGATATATTTGATGATAAAGCTGGCATCTGTGGCCACTAGGATAAGGCACTGGACAGCTGAGTGTAGGCCAATCCAGAGGCGGAACTCCATGTAGTCCAGGCCATTGCCTCTGGAAGGCAGAGGGGAGGTGAGGGGCCTCCAGCCCGGGCCTCCTGGTTGTGCTTGACTCCTCAGACCCACCCCTGAGTGGCTTATCTGTCCTCCTGTGGCACAGATGCCCTCCCAGGGATTGTGAAAGACTGGGGACAGGGACAATTCTTGGGTGCAGTTGTCTGATATTTGAGAGCTCATGGGGGTCCAGTGTTCATCTTTATAAGAAATTTTTTTTTTTTTTTTTTTTTTTTTTTTGAGATAGTCTCACTCTTTTGACCAGTCTGGAGTGCAATGGCTCAATCTTGGCTCACTGCAACCTCTGCCTCCCGGGTTCAAGTGATTCTTCTGCCTCAGCCTCCTAAGTAGCTGGGATTACAGGCGCCCGCCACCACACCCGGCTGATTTCTGTATTTTTAGTAGAGATGGGGTTTTGCCATGTTGGCCAGGCTGGTCTCAAACTCCTGACCTTAGGTGATCCGCCCACCTTGGCCTTCCAAAGTGCTGGGATTGCAGGTATGAACCACCATGCCCAGCCAAAAAAAATTTTTTTAAAGATCTTATGGGGGAGGCAGGAAGGTGCTAAGACATCTCAGTGCCCACAGTTGGTAATAGACACCAGAGTGAGTGAAAAATGGGAATTTTGGAAGAACAGGGCTGGAGCAGCCCTTGGAAATGGTCTAGTCCAAACCCTCATGTTGTAGAGGAGGCAACTGAGCCTAGAGTAGCGATGGGAGCTGCCTGGGTCTGGGTGTAACCTTCTGACCTTCAGTCCAAGACTTCATGCACCATACTGCCTATCAAATCACCATTGCTCACCAACTGAGTGGTGTGAATTTTCTCCTCTTGTCGTGGCTGGCCCCTACTGGCTGTGCCAATATGCACTAAGATGTCTTAAAGGCAGGTAGCTGGCAGGAGTCAGGAGGAGCCACCTGGTAGCCCTTCCCATGGTTAAAGATGGCTTTGGCACCTCCGCACCACCACCTCCCCTTTGGGCCTATTCCTGCTCTGGCCCCAGCATACCACCCCAAGTGCGAGAGCAGGCACTGGGGGCCACCAAGGGACACCTACTTGCTGAAGTCGAAGAGAAGCTTCTCAAAGATGAGGATGGGCCCCGTGCTGCTGAGAATGATGAGAGGCTGTCCCGAGAAGAGGCAGAACAAGGAGCCAGCCATGGCAGTGCCCAGGAAGCTCTCCATCACTCCCTGGGGGCACAAGAAATGTGTGACTCAGCATAGGAAGGAGAAGGGGTCTTTCCACACAGGCTGCAGCCCAGCAATCTCTCCACGGGCCCAGGCCACAGTGTTTATCCTTTGTTCTGGGCCCTTTCCTGCCTAAATCCTGTTCTCCATCTCCTATACCCTCTACAACGTGCCACCATGACCAGTGTCACTCTGTTTAATTCCATCTAGATAGAGGTACCATGTGACTTCCTTTCGGCACCCAGGGCCCACAAAACAGTGGACGTGCTTTTCTCTGTGTCCATTCTACTCCCAGAGGACAGTCCATTTATCCATCTGATTATTCATTCATTCAAACATCTGTTTGGTGCTTTTACAGGTCAGATAATTCATTTATTCAAAATCCACTAACTGTCTGCTATGTACCAGGTATTGTGAAAGGACTGAGGACCCATCACTGAACAAGATAACACCTCTTCATTCTAGTGGGAGACACAGGTAAGTAACCAGGCAATTTCCATATAGCAGGGTTTCTCAACCTCTGCACAACGGACATTTTGGGCTAGATGATTCTTTGTTGTGAGGGGTCTGTCCTGTGTATTTTAGTGTGTTTAGTAGCATCCACAGCCTCTATACATTAGATACCAGTAGCAACTCTCCTCCCGGCTATAACAATGAAAACTGTCTCTAGATATTGTTAAATGTCTCCTGGGGTGAAAATTGTCCCTGGTTGAGAGCCACTGCCAAGAGGTGTGCTAAGCTGGGATAGGTTTAGAGTGCCACAGGAGCACGCAGTAGGGGTAAAGGGGTGGTCAGGAAGGCCTCCCTGGAAGTAGATAAGTGGAAGCTGAGATCCAAAAAATGAGCAGAGAATTGGCCAGGGGAATGGGGTTAAGTGGAGTGACAAGAAACAGTGTCCCAGGAAGAGGGAGTAGTGTCTAAAAGGTCCGGAGCTGAAAAACAGCATGTACTTGAAGAACCAAAAGATGATCAGGATTGATGGAAAACAGAATGTAGAACGGGTGGGGAGGGTAGGAATGCTGAGAAAGAGAATGCTGGGAGGCGAGGTGTGAGAGCCAGGTAGGGCCATGTGGTGAGGGCCACATGGAGCAGCTGGGATTTATGAGTCAAGGATAATGCTTAGTTTCTGGTGTAGACAGCTGAGTGAACCATGGTATCACCTGCTATGCTGGGGAAGGGCAGGGAGCAGCAGGTCAGGAGGGAAGACAAGGGATGCAATGTCAGCTCTGTGAATTGAGGGACCCTGAAGGGCAGTCATGGGGAATCCCAAGGGGCAGCCATGTGGACATGCCCAGAAGGCAGCTGGACAAATGGGTCTTCTCCTTGGTGCACTGAGCTTTCCAATGGCTCTACTTTGAAGGCCTCCACCGGAGAAGACCCTTGCCTAGGAGATTGGCAGGTGTCTCTGCTGAGCTGTTTTCCCCAGGGAGGCCTGAGTTGTTGTCATGGTCACAGCTTACCATCCTTCTAAAAATGTCTTAACTCCAAACTAAGAATTCAAGGTTAGTTTTTAAAAAGTGTGGGGAGAAGGCCACAATTAGCACTCCATTAATTGTGCTGATTAAATTCACTCTAGTATCAGTGGAAAAAGTACCAAATAACACAGCAGACGATTCCCCTTAACGGTTTGGCCTCTTTAAATAATCATTAAATGTGGTCTTTAGTAATGAGATTTAGCTTCAGATCTTTAATATTGTCTTATTATTATCATTATTACTTGAAGGGTAAAGGATTACAAATACTGATGGCCTCAACCTGGCTGGTAGATGAAACCTTGGTTTTGGGATTACAAGATGAAACTTCCTGCTGCCACCAGGTGGTGGCAGATCTTACTTTTACACTCAGGGCCCCAGCTCACACACACCTGATAATTGTCGGTGGCATCCCCGAGAAGCCCACCAAAGGTGATCGCGTTGGTGATACAGCCGAGGTAGATGAATAGGATGGCAGAGATGGACTGAATGTGGAAGCCATCATAGAAGTCACTTGGGAACCAGGGCAACTTCCTCTTGATATCCAGACACAGCCCACCGAAGAACCTGCTCAAGACAGGCCCAGGGGCTGCTTTCTCACCACTAACACCAGTGCAGGGGCAGGGCTATTTACAAGAACCTGCAGACCCTGGGGCGAGGAAAGGAACTTGACTGGGGTGGATGGGGCAAAGATCTTTCCACCAGAACATTTAGGGCCAGGGATGAATTCCTGTAGGACTGAGTTTGTGGTTGGCACCACCCACACTGGGAAGGGTGGACATAGGGGTTTTGGAGAGAGAAAGTCTGATGGGAATATGTCCTGGGGTAGACCCAACATTCCATGGAGAATGGAACTCCTGGGGTCCACAGATGATGGTCCTCCTCACATCCCTGACCATCTGCAGGGTGCCCGCTCTTGGTGAACACAGGTATGTCTAACCTTCAGTGACAGAGGCATCCCAGATTATAACAGATTCATTAAGAACAGATCCTAAACCTTATAACTGGTTGGTATTTGCTTATTTTTTGATTTTGCTATCTGGAACAGTTGAGTGGGAGATTTTAGGTTTGGAGACATTGTTTACTGGGATTGCTATTCCCATAACCCCTAATGCAGTCCTTAGCATGGAGCAGAGTTTCTCAACCTCATTTCTGCTGATATTTTGGACTGGATACTCCTTTGCTGTAGGGGCTGTCCCATGCACTGCAGGATGTTTAGCAGCTAACTACTACATGCAAGTAGCATCGCCCCTCTCAAGTTGTGCCAAATCCCCTGGGCTCGGGGGTAGGGGGACTAAGGAGGGCCACAGCTGCGTACAATGAGAACCACTGGTATAAAGCCAAGGGCATATAAAACATGACTTCATTCTCAAAGTCATGCTTTATATGTAGATTTGCAAAGCCACATCCTTTCCTAAATCTAGGTCAACCTGAATGACTCCAAGAGCTGGAAAAGAAACCCAGGCCAGGAGAACTTTCTCTTATTTTCTTTAAAAAAAAAAGTTTTTGAATAGGTAAATTAAGTTTTAAAAAAAGGTGCTGTTATTGAATTGTGTTGCCCCAAAAGATACATTAAGGTCCTCACATCTATGAAGATGTAATCCAGTTTAGATTAAGTATTGTGGTGGGCCCTAATCCAATATGACTGGGGTCCTTATACAAAGAGCAAAGTGCTCTGTGAAGACAGACACACAGGAGGCCATGTGGTGGAGAGGCAGAGCCGGGGGTGATGCAGCTGCCAGCCAGGAACACCAAGAACTGCTGGCCACCACCAGAAGCCAGGAGGAGGCCAAGAAGGATTCCACCCAGAGCCTCAGGGAGCATGGTGGTCCTGCCAACACCTGCTGCGGAACTCCTCGCCTCCAGAACTGCAGGAAAGTAACCTTCTGTTGTTTTAAGCCATCTAGTTTGTGGTACTTTGTTACAGCAGACCCAGGAAACAGGCACCAAAGGATGTCTAAGAGAAAAGTTTGGGTTCCTCTCCTCTTGTATGGGTCTCAAATTCCCCTCTCCTGAGGCAACCCTTTTTGGGGATCCGTGATGGGGTTCAAGGGCTCTGGGAGGGAAAGAAGGCAGGGGTGACCTCGAGTGGGCACTACAGACCGTGGTTGGGAAAGGTCCCCAGAGGGCGGCTGAGAAGGAGAGAAGTCTAAAGGACAGCAGGGTCACTGGGAGGCCTGGGGTGGGCACCTTCCCGTCCAGATAAGTTCTTCCCCGATTTCATGCATGGCTGGCATCTCTCCATCATCCCCGCTGCTCGTTCCACCGGCCCCGCCACCGCCAGCCCCGCCGCCACTGCCACCACCACCACCACCTCCATTGCCTCCTCCAGCAACTCCGCCGCCTCCTCCCACAGAGCCATTCATCTGGCCCAGCTCTGCTAGGGAGAACACAGATTTCCTGGAAGAGAAGGGGGATGAGGGAGAGTGAGTCCCCCAGAGCACCCCTCACCTCTCCAACCAAAATTATGAAATATCTTAAAAGACAGACAAAAATGCAGAAAATGATCTAACAATATCCACACACAGGTCACCTAGACTTTACAAATGTTCACATTTAGCCATATTTGCTTCTGATATATCTTATTATTTTTAAACTTATTTTAAAAGTTATTTTGAGACAGGGTCAAACTCTGTTGCCCAGGCTGGAGTACAGTGGCATGATCACAGCTCACTGCAGCCTTGGCCTCCTGGGCTCAATCAATCCTCCTGCCTCAGCCTCCAGAGTAGCAGGGACTACAGGTGCATGCCACCATGCCCAGCTAATTTGATTTCTTTTTGTAGAGACAAGAGCTCACTATGTTGCCCAGGCTGGTTTCAAACTCCTGGACTCAAGTGATCCACCCACCTCAGCGTCCCAAAGTGTTGAGATTACAGGCATGAGCCACTATGCTGAGCCTCAGATGTATTTTAAAGAGCAATAAAATGATACCAACAGAGTTGAAGCCTCCTTTTTCTCCCCCTACTGCCCATTCTCATACACACCTCTTGTCAGCAGAGGGTACCTTCTTGGGTGGCTCAATTCGGATATTTGGGTCCCATTCTCCCGGGGGAAGGACAATGACCTCATCCAGAAATTCATCAATTCCTGCAATCAGATCGTCCCGATTGCGGGCTTTGTAGGCCACGTCACTGAAGAGCTGGTGAGGAGAGAGGAGGGAGAAAAGAAAGATCGCATCTGTTTCTGACATGCCCGGGAGCATACCACATCTAGTTTTTAAAGAAATCATTTTGAACCACGTCTCCCACTGACAACTCACTCTCAGTTTTTGGAATGAGACCATAGCACATTGGTAAAATAAACCACAACGGGACACAGCAGGCGCTGGGGGAAGACAGCCTATCTTGGATCTGAAGGCCAGGTCTCCATATTCTTGCTTGTAGGACTTTGGTTGAGTTACTTAACCTTTCCGTTTCAGTTTTCCACACAGCACGCGCATTAGAAAACCTCTGTAGAGCCCAGTCCAAGGAGCTCAGATATTTCACATCCATTTTTTACTTCCGGCCCTTCGCCCTTGGAGGCTCACGTCGTGTTGTTCACACTGTCTCCAGAATGTGCTTTCTGACTTACAGATTCGATGGGATATGCTCATGTTTAACCTTTTCCCGTTTAGGAAAAAAAAGGTGCAGCTCATTGCCAGCACTCATTTAATTTTACAGAAACACTCTTTAAGGCCAAAGCAAATCTGACTGATTTTCAATGTGAAAATGAAATATAAAAATTATTCTTAGAGTTATTTCTAAAAACAACTAACATCAGAATCACTGGAATGATCAGAGTCATCTAATTTGGAAAAACTGGATTCATCGAATGAATCTTAGGCCAAAAACTGAGAATGATGTTAGCATCACTCGTAGGAATGCTAGTTTTCTAGCATTTGATATTTTCAATGATTGAGAGTTAGTATATTTTGTAAATGGAAATACCACAACTAAAAACAGAATGCTATAAGTAGAATGATGTCTTTTGTTTCCAAAGTCAATATACAAGAGCAATGCAAAAATAATAAAAGTGAGACATTTCCTGGGGAAAAGTTATCTTGGGGTAAAGCCTGCAGCTGCAAGCACTGCCAGTGAGTATTCTTGGCACAAACGGGAAAGAGTGAAAGTCCTCTAGGCTCCCCATCACTCTGGGGACAGAGTGTTACTCAGCTCTGCTTACAGGCTCTGTGTAGTCTCTGGCTCACCTCTCCAGTGTTACCTCCTGCCCTTGAAGCTCTTACACTGAGCCTACATCAAACCACCTCCATCCAAATTCTCTGAGCCTGATCCATTTCCTTTGTTTGGAATGCTTGCCTCATAGCCTGGTGCTGGGTCTGCCTTCCTCCTGCTCCTCCTTAGCTTTAAAGCCCCCTCATCTGTGAAGCCCTCCTTGACCCCCTGGGAAGCTGGCACATGGTTAGTTTTACAATTATCATCTGTCCCTCACGCTTGATTGGTTCTCCTAAAGGACAACGACTATTCCCTGATTCTCATTATCTTTAGCATCCTGTGTAGTGCCTGTTACACAGTAGGTGCTCAAATGTGCTGGCTGGATAAGTTAATGAATGAAGGTGCAGTGTTTGTTGCAGGAGCTGTAAAATTCAGGAGTACAAGCTTCTGGTTACCACTTACATCATCTACCATGAGGGTTGCAATGGCACGGCCAATTTCATTGTAGGATTTTGCTCTCCCAGAAGGTCCCAGCAGTATAAACAGAAATCTGCAAAGAAGATGGAGAAGATTAAGGAAGAGGAGCATGAAAGTGAGAAGGAAAAATAGAAATAAGTAAAGAGAATTCTTTGGCCCTGAACAATATGCTTTTTTTTTTTTGAGACAGGTGCTTGCTTTGTCACCCAGGCTGGATGGAGTGCAACAGCACAATCTTGGCTCACTATAGCCTCACCTCCTGGGCTCAAGCAATCCTCCCACCTCAGCCTATTGAGTAGCTGGGACTACAGGCGTGCACCACCATATCCAGCTAATTTTTTGTATTTTCAGTAGATACAGGGTTTCACCATGCTGCCCAGGCTGGTCTCCAACTCCTGGGCTCGAGCGATTCACCTACCTTGGCCTCTCAAAGTGCTGGGATTAGAGGCATAAGCCACTGCGCTGGGCCCATTTTTAACATTTTTACTTCCCTCCATGGAACCCTATGTTTGCTTTGGAGGAACATTTCCTCTTCCCCTCCCATGAGGCTCCCCATCAAGCATCCTCACCTTTGTCTTGCTGCCCAAGCCCACCTGACAACTTCTCTCCCAGTTGTTGCCTCCTTCTTTATTATTATTATTATTAATTTTTTTTCCAAGATGGAGTCTTGCTCTGTCACCAAGGCTGGGGTGCAATGGCACGATTTCGGCTCACTGCAACCTCTGCCTCCTGGGTTCAAGTGATTCTCCTGCCTCAGCCTTCTGAGTAGTTGGGATTACAGATGTGCACCACCACACCTGGCTAATTTTTTTGTATTTTTAGTAGAGACGGGGTTTCACCATGTTCGCCAGGCTGGGCTCGAATTCCTGATCTCATGATTGGCCCGCCTTGGCCTCCCAAAGTGTTGGGATTAAAGGCATGAGCCACCGCACCCGGCCTCTTTTATGATTATTTTTAATAAACTCTAAAACTCTTCCCTAGTCAGAAGATTTCCCTTCCCAGCAGCCTCCAAGTTTAGAGGTGTCTCTGAGAGCACTAACAGTCAACAGCACTGCTTGCTGACTGCACTGCTGACTGGCGCCCTAAGGGTGGCATGGGGACAGGTTTCAGTGGCTCTCACCTGGTGGGGACAGGCACCTCGGTCACTCCTCCCAGCATGGCCGACTGGATGAGGCGCACGAACGCGATGAATGGCTGGTCTAGGAAGTCCACCTCACCCACGAGCACGTTGGAGGCTTCTGAGTCCTTGGGAATCTTCTTCATGAATTTGTTTTTCCGCTGGACAGGGAGGGGAAATGAGATTGCCAAGGAAGACTCCCACCTGCTCTCCTTCACTTCCCTTCAGACTGCTTTGAGGCCTAACTTGAAAAAAATTCTCTCAATGTTGCCAAGACACTGAAAGAATAAACAAGTACTCCTTTGATTCTGCAGATGGGAAGACTGAATGTAGGTTAACCCCAGGCACCATTAAGCCTTGTAGATGGGAAGGTACTGGCAATGACTCTCCTTGACTAAGACATTCCTTGATGGATGAAAACGGCTCCACTGAGCTGTGGGATGAGGGGTCAGAGAAGAGCCCTGGGGTTGCCAGACATCAGGCCCAGATTGCCTTCTTCAGGCTGAGCAGATGGGAAGTCTCAGTGCTTCTACTCTAGCCACCCAGACCTCCCCTCTCCACCTTCACTTTTGGTGGCTGTGGGGAGGAGGAGGCCTGTTCTGATGGTCAGAGTAGACAGGCCTTCTTTTCCCTTTGTCACCAGCTTCCTGGCTCACAGGAATTCCTGGACCAGTCTCCAAGTCTGTGGGAGACTTCCATGACCCCAAGTTACCCCCAGGGGACCTCCCAGGAAATTCATAACTTCTGGAATTTTCCAGCGGAGACTATCAAGGTAGCCTCTCTTCAGTCCCTCTGGCTAGTGTCTCTTCAAAGGAAGAAGGTCACACAGGCAGAGCCAGTGGGGTCTGATGTGAGAGGTATTGGAGACAAACCCTCCACCCAAACATGTTCCCACTGTCTACATTTATAACTTCATTCTTCCTGAGTCCTCTTTTACACTGAAGATCCTCCAGGGGTGGCTACTTCCAAGCTCTTCTTAGTCCTCAACATCTTAGAATGAATTTCTTTTTCAGATTGCTTTCTCTCTGGGCAGCAAGGGCATGGACAGACAAGAGACAGAGATAATTTTGTTGGAAGATGGAGGGGAGCAGTTGGGGTGGTGGCAGGGCTGCGTGCAGTCCACAGTGGCTGACACAGTGGGAAAGAGCCTGGGGGTAGAGGACAGCTCTGAAGAGAGCGCCTGTGAATATCACAATTTTCCCACCAATCCCCCTTCTGCTGGAGTCTTTCCCGTGGGCACAGGCCTGTTTCTCACAGCCTCAGTGAAGACACAGGTTCCTTGTGTCTCTTCCTGTCCCTGTGGAGGGGTCAGTTGTGGGCATGGATATGGTCAACAGGTCCTGCCCTTTTGTCCCCATGGCTGTTTCCTGATTCAACTCATGTGGGGGCATCATACACACTGGGCTGGTTGGCCTACCAGCACGAGGAGGGGCTCGTGAGCAACAGCTGTACCCTTATAATCTTTTAAATCCAATTGGGAAAAAAAAATAACCCTCCACAACCACCTGGGCAACCATCAGTAGCCCCAAGGATCCTAATATAGTGAGAAAAAGCAGGAATTGACAGGAACACCAGAGTCCCCGAGACTCAAAATGTCCCTTTGTCTCAGGCATGGTCAGTTGATTACTAAGCAGCATTCTTCAGGGTGGAGGGCTGGGAGTACCAGGGCAGTCACCGTCTCCAAGCATCAGGCGGGGTTGGGGCGGGGGTGTCCAGGGAAGGGGAGGAGATGCAGGCTGGGCAGAAGCACCCTGCAGAATGAGGCTTCGAAAACAGCAATGCTTCAGGGTGTCCCAACAAACCCACTTGTTTTTGTTGTTGTTTTGTTTTGTTTTGTTTTGCTTTGAGACAAGAGTCTCACTCTGTCATCCAGGCTGGAGTGCAGTGGCACCATCTCGGCTCACTGAAACCTCCTCCGCCTGGGTTCAAGCACTTCTCATGCCTCAGTCTCCTGAGTAGCTGGGACTACAGGCATGTGCCACCACGCCCGGCTAATTTTTGTAATTTTCATCGAGACAGGGTTTCTCCATGTTGGCCAGGCTGGTCTCAAACTCCTGGCCTCGAGTGATCCATCAGCCTCAGCCTCCCAAACTGCTGGAATTACAGGTGTGCACCACCACACCTGGCCATCCAACCAACCCACCTGTAATACAGGAGAGAAGAGAAATTGAACCAGGGACTTGGTCCTTCCTTACACATTGTGACATGTTTGGTAAGAAGGCCAGGGTTGTGGCATCCCAGAAATGGGAGCATGCTACTGTTCCAACCAACCCTGGCTTGCCCATAGCCTGGACGTGGGCTTGTATAACCAGGGCCCTGCTGACTCCACTTCCTGAACCCTTGGGGACTCCAGTCTGGCTCTGTACTGCAGAGTCACTGCAGCACAATGATGCTGTCTGAATCTACTCTCTGTTCACTGGGAATCTGCTAGCTGAGGGCAGGCATGGAGTTTAGCTTTGCACAAACCAATGATGAAGAAAAAGCCTGCAGAGCAAATGCCTCTGGGCTTGCACCTAAAGAACGCCCACTAGCATAGACCACTGATGCTGCAAATACCGAGAAGCAACATCAGGTATCAGCAAGGAGAACTAGATGCTGGCGCTAGGTGATGGGTTCCAATCCCTAAATCAAAGAAGCACTGCCTGGTGAAAGTGACAGCTAGTGTTATTATTACCACTCACATATTCATTAAAACAGGTTATAAAAACTTTTACTAGGTAATGCTTTCTTATCACAGTTCCGCTGTCTGTGTGCATGAGTAAAAGTGGTTTTCCTCTCCAAATAATGTTCCAGAATACTGACTAGTTCCTCAATTACTTCCAAATTAAGGGCTCTGGAGTTAGACTACCCAGGTCAAATCAAAGTTCTGTCTTTCAGCTGTATAGACTTGGGTGTGTTATTTAACTGCTGTGAGGCACAGTGTTTTCTCATGAGTAAAATGGGAATGAAAATAGTACCTTTGTGATTCACAGAAAATGCCCAGCACAGTGTAGTGCATGTGGTGTGGACCTTAAATATTGATTGATTTTGTTACTGTTGTTATGAATTTATTTGGGCCCGGACACTGATATGAGGAGCTGATTTTGTTTTTGCCTTCCACCAAACTTAGGGGTGGCTGGAAGGCCTGGAGGTCACCCAAGCTCCTGAAGGCTCCTCGTCAAGTCTCAGGTTTCCTTTGTCATCTTTCTTCCTACTCCTGGGAAGATACACAAGAGGACCATGGGACCTCCTGTCCTTGACGTGTGCAGGAGTTGGAATTAAGGGGCCTCTTCTGGGCTTCCCCAAGAGGCACAGTCACAGGATTCTCAAATGGACCCAATTTGTTTGCAGAATTCTGATCTCATCAAGAGGGTTTCAGCCCAGCTCACGGGAGACCACAGGAAGAAGATGCACTATTGAACAGTCTAATTAATTAACTACCACTGCTGTCCCCACAGGGAGATTCTTTTCTGTCTCTCTGCCAGCCCCAATCCCTATCCCCTCTTTAAAGGTGCTTGTGGGTCACCGGATAGATGAAGCCATGTGTGCTGGTCTTCTCTCTCCCACAAATCCTAAGCTCAAGGACAGCCGGTGCCTCATTTCATCATGTTTTCTGTCCCACACCCCCAGGGCCTGACACAGAGCCAGCACCTGGGACTCTGCTAGTCCCTGACTGCTGGCCTTGGCAGAGTCCCCCAGGCAGCCCAGAGTCCCCACTGGGGACCTTCCTGGAACTCCCACTCCTTTGTAGGAGTGGAATTCTGCCCATAGGGGATCCCTGCTCCTGAAACCAAAGACTTCTTCCTGCCCTGGCCCTTCACTGCAGCTAAGTGCGGGGGTTTTACTACCTGGTCTGTGTTTGGGGTGAGAGAAATGTCATTCATGCTTCTGCTCTGGGCATGACCTAGGAGAGAAGGAAAACAAGATCCATCAGGGGAAGCCAGGCTCTCACAGGACCCTTTCCTATGGACTCTACTCATGTACCTCTCCCATGTTCATAACAAAGCAAACCCCCTCCCCCTTAATCCTGGCGTCCCTTTAAGTTAGGACCCTCTCACTTTCCTTCTGTTCAATGGCCGCTTTCCTGAAAGAGGTGTCAGACTCCAGGTTCCATTGTTTCCTTCTCCCTCCTCAATCTACCACACTCTAGTCTCTACCCCTCCACCCCGTCTTTCTGGATGTCACTAGGCTGTCTACTCTGGGTGCGGCTCTGGACCAGGTCTGAAGAGGAGGAGGGACACAGATGTATTATTACATGAGGTTCCATGTGTCACTTAGCTTGGAATTTGCTGGAGAGGGGAGCAGTTTCACCTCTGTCCTCCATGACCGGTGACAGTCTTTAAATGTGGGCTGGGGATTTAGGCTGGCAGAGGGAAGGAAGGTGGGCTCCCCATGAGAACAGTGACAGCCAATTATTTGAACTGCCCAGTAGTTCCTTCCTCTGTTAAGAGGGAGAAAGCCAGCTCTCCTCTCCCACTAGCCCAATCTGGCGGACACCCTCAGACCTATCGTGTCTTGGCTATTGAACTGTGCCACTCGTGGTGTCCGGAATGCTGCTCCTCTTCGCTCTCCTCCTCTCATTTCTGTCCGAGGATCCTCTCCTGCTTGGGCCTCCCAGGGCCTTGTCTTTGCTCTCATCCCTTCCAGGTGCCTCAGCCTCTCCGCTGGTCAATCGCCCCCACTCCTGTTGTTTTCCAACACCCATTTGGGCTGAGGACGCCCAGGATGCATCTTTAGTCTGATCCCTCTTCTGAGCTCTAGACTCCTTGGAGCAGTCCCCTCTGGCACCTCAAATGCAACTCTTTTACCCTCCAAATCACTTTCCTCATGGACACATTCCACTCAATGCCCCTCCCTCCCATCCACCAGCACTTCAGACAGAAATCTAGGAGCAGCCTTGGGCCCTCCCTCTTCATCACCTCCTACTTCCCACCAGTCCTTCAATTCCACCTCTGTCCCTTCCTCTCCATTCTAGAATGCAGGCTCAGTCTCTGCCTTCCAATGTTGCCCCTTCTAGATTATTCCTACTCAGACAGAAATCTGATCACAGCATGCTCCTGCTTCAAGCTTACCAGGGGTTCCCATTATCTTCAGAATAAAACCCGGGTTCTTTTGCTGGGTGCACAAGGCCCTCTTTGATTTGACCCTCTCTTCCCCTTAACTCCTACACTTCCTGTGAACTGAACCGATGTTTTGCTTTCATAGCTCCAGATCCTTCTCTTCCATCCCCCAACCTGCTATTTGTTTCCTTTGTTTACAACTCCCTCTTCCTCCTCCTTGCTCCTGGAAAACTTCTATTTATGCTCCAAGACTCAGTCAGCATCTCCTCCTCTCTGATTCTTCCCCTGTGCGCTGTGTTCTGCATGCTGGGCCACCTCAGGGTGGGTGCCCACCTTGAATATGACCTAGTTCACACAAAGCTGTCATCATCCATTCATGCCTCTTGTCCCAGTGGTTCCCACCCCCAAGCAGTGTTGGTAGGGAGGTGACCTCATATACAATGACAACTGAGTGGAAGGTCTTCCCGAAGCCACTCTCTACCCACTGAACACTGCCACTGGGCATCCCTATGTGGAATAACAAGGCCAGGGAGACTCAGTGGACTTGGGTCATCAGGACAGAGAGAGAAGACTGCAGCAAACGCCTGCTGTGCCCAAGGCCATGGGCAGGGGCTGCATTGCCCCCAAGTCACTCCTCGGCCTGGACAGGGGCACAGCACTGGGCTGCACTTGTTAACATCTTGGCATTTTAGTAAAAGCACCTAAAGGAAAATAGTCCTTCACTGCTTTTTCTTTTTCAATTCATTTTCTAAGTTCACTCCTTTCTTTCCCCCAGTTTGCCTGTCTGTGTATCCCTGACGAGGTGAGGTGCGTGAAAAGCCTGTCTGTCACCTCTCACCTCAAACCCACACCCCGCCCCCGACCAGCCATTCCCAGAAAAAAGGGGCCATGACTCTGCCCACATTTCTTTTTCATGGTGGCACGAGACTGCCACCCAGTGATGGGAATGCTGCCTGACTGAACAGAAGGAAAGGACCTTGCCTGTTTTTTATTCCATTTCCAGGAAAGCTTTGCACCAAAAAACAGGGTTAATGTCAGTTTGATGAAGATGAAGATACAGACTAAGATAAAAACACCTAGAACATGGGAGTGGGTATTGATTACACCAGGATGTGACTGAGAGCCTCATTTTTCAGAGGAATGACTTGAATATTATGGTAGTAAATGAGGCCCTGAGAGTAGCCTGGGTTTAGAGTGAAAGTTAGGCTCCTCCTGATGCATGCCCTGAGAATTCTTGGCAGATCCTGGGCTTTGTCTCCCCTACCTATGGCAATGTGGCCATGTCACAGCTGCCACAGCCTGAATAAAGTTGCCACAGAGTGGCGAAGCACACACTCACACAGACGTCCGTAATTTGCACTCTGCCGCATCCGCAGGTCCTCCGTGGAGTGGTGTAGACTCGGGCCAGCACCAGGGCTCCGGGCGGGACTGCGATCTGGGAGGACAATCAGAAGAGACTTGGCTTTGACAGCCTTGCTGGTGTAGTGAAGCCTCTTGGGTTAGCTCACTTTAGATAAATAAAACTGGGCAGCAAGACATGTCTCTTCCCCTTCTAGGAAGAAATTCTTTTTTTATTTTCTTTTTTTTTTTTTTAATTTAAGCAAGTCAATAGTCTGAACAAGATTACAGCCTGGGCGCAGTGGCTCACGCCTGTAATCCCAGCACTTTGGGAGGCCGAGGCGGGTGGATCACCTGAAGTTGGGAGTTTGGGACTAGCCTGGTCAACATGGTGAAACCCCGTCTCTACCAAAATACAAAAAATAGCCAGGCATGGTAGTGGGCGCCTGTAATCCCAGCTACTTGGGAGGATGAGGCAGGAGAATCACTTGAATCCAGGAAGCAGAGTTTGCAGTGAGCTGAGATCACGCCATTGCACTCCAGCCCAGGCAACAGAGTGAGACTCTGTCTCAAAAAAAAAAAAAAGAACAAGATTACAGACAGAATATTTGTACTGTTGAAAGTGAGATAGGCCGGGCGCGGTGGCTCAAGCCTGTAATCCCAGCACTTTGGGAGGCCGAGACGGGCGGATCACGAGGTCGGGAGATCGAGACCATCCTGGCTAACACGGTGAAACCCCGTCTCTACTAAAAAAATACAAAAAACTAGCCGGGCGAGGTGGCGGGCGCCTGTAGTCCCAGCTACTCGGGAGGCTGAGGCAGGAGAATGGCGTGAACCCGGGAGGCGGAGCTTGCAGTGAGCTGAGATCCGGCCACTGCACTCCAGCCTGGGTGACAGAGCGAGACTCCGCTCAAAAAAAAAAAAAAAAAAAAGGAAAGTGAGATAGATACACAGTTCATTAAATGGGCACAAGATGTAGTAGACTGCTTGGGTTCATCCCTGATTCCACACTTACTGGCTTTGTGACCTTAGGCAAGTTACTTAAACTCTGTGCCTCAGGCGTCTCATCTGTAAAATGGAGACAAGAACCATACCTACACACCACAGCGTTTTTGTTAGGATGAAGTGAGTTAAAACAGGAAGAGCACTCAGAATAGTGCCCAGAAGGTAGTTAAGTGCTGAGTATGTATCTGTTGCTATTATGGTATGTTAAACACTTCCTGTTGTTTTGGGAGGGATTTTTTGAGACAAGGTCTTGCTCTGTCGCCCAGGATGCAGTGCAATGGCACAATCTCTGCTCACTGAAAGCTCCATATCCTGGGTTCAAGCAACCCTCCCACCTCAGCCTCCTGATTAGCTGGGACTACAGGTGTGTGCCACCATGCTTGGCTAATTTTTTGTAAGGCGGGGTTTATGCCATGGGGTTTAAACCATGAGGTTTATGTATTTCTTGTAGAGATGGGGTTGATGCCATGTCACTCAGGCCGGTCACAAACTCCTGAGCTCAAGCAATCCGCCCACTTGGACTCTCAAAGTGCTGGGATTACAGTTGTGGGTCACCGTGCCCAGCTCACTTCCCATTTTTAAGTAATTCATTTAGAGGCTCCTCAATGTTTTTAACGTAGCGACTTTGCTCTGGTTACTGTGTTTGTCTGACAGGCTCAGCAGGGCTAGTGTCTCTGGGCATCTAGGCTCGGATATTGATAGTGGAGTGTTGGAGATTTGAGATGTGCGCGTGGAACAATTCACTCTCTCTGAATGGCCCCAGGTCCTGCTAATCAGAGTGACATCAACCACCAGATCTACAAGCCCTGGCACTCTTGAGATAAGCCCAGCCCCTTCTACCACCCTGATGTGTTCCATTTTCTGCTGAGGCTCTTGACCTCTCCAGGGGGTTTGATGTGAAACTTTTGGGTCCTTTCCATAGCAAGCCATCTCTACCAGCATTTCCCAATGCTGTGTGACACCAGAATCTCTTGGGGTGCATTCTAACCTCTCTCTCTTTTTCCAGGCCATACCCCAGACCAACTGACTCCAACTCTCCAGGGGTCCAGGCATTAGGACACGTCTCAATCTCCAAAGTGATTTGCCATGTGCAGCCCTAGCTGAGAACCAACTCTCTCCCTAGAAATTGTTCTGCTCTGGTGGTGGGAACAACATGCGAGTGTGGCTGGGGTCCCCACAGGCCTGCCAGAGACAGAGGCTGAGGGATCCCCAGAACATCAGAATTTCTCCAGAAACTCCCAGCCCCTAAGGTGGGCTCACCCAGGTACCAGGGCCTGATACTGGTCCTGCATTTTTTCCCATGCCTACCAGCGTAAGGCCTGACTCACTTGTGGTGGAGACTGACTTCCCAATGTCGACTAACGAGCGGTGGATGGGCTTCTTGGTTTGGTGACGGTGCCTCCTCAGGAGGACGTAACTGACCCTCTCCCGGAGCTCTGGTCGCAGGAGACCATCCTCAATCTGCTTCTCAATGACATCATCTGCGTGGAAAACATACACACCTCGTCCCTGTGGGACAGAACCGCCCCAGGGTATGGGGGTCTTCAGTTTCACCTGTTATTAGTGGGATTAAATGTGGCAGGGGGTCAGTGGAAATACTCCTAGATTTGCCACTAGCTGTGGAAAACTGGACACATCATCAACTCTTGGCCTCCTCCTGTTCAAGGGCATGTGCGTGCGTGCGTGTGTGTGTGTGTGTGTGTGTGTGTGTGTGTGACTCTGCTCTTTCTGTCAGTGTTCTTATGAAAAGGGAAAGAAACAGTACATACGAAACTGCCCCAGGAGGCACAAAAATCCTGTGTTCAATGGTTTTAATCCTAAAACGAACTCTTTTTAGAAAAGTATTTTGGGCAAAATACTTCTGGCAAAATCCAATGTGCTAGAACAAAAAACCCAAAAAAATTTTAGGGGTGTTAGGGCAAGCCACCTCCTCCCTTTGACACACCACTAAATGACAGCTAATTTCCTAAAGAATGATGACCCAGTTTACCCTGAAAAGAAACAGGTTGCCATGGCAAGAGGTGTCTCTGACTATGCAAGAGGCCCTCTCCCCTTTGCTACATTTCTGGTTGGCATTTTGGAGGATGGTCTTTTCGTCTCTACTGGAGGTCTACATGAAACTGAAACTTGGAGTGACTATGATCCTGCCCTGGGAGCAACAGAGGTCTGCAATTCTGGTCTCTGCAGAATCAGGTGTCAGAGATGGGCCAGTCACATAGACTCGAGGGCAGGCATGAGGTCAGGGGAGCTGCCTGGTTTGCAGGGACCACAGGAGAGATGCACATAGTGGCCCCTGCCTCACCTATGATCTGTGGTAAGGAGCCGCTGTCCAAATCCAGCAGCACTGTCCCCGTCTGCAGGCAGGTACGGAGCTCGAAGAGGCTGTGCAGGGACAGTGTGGACACGTGGGGCTTGCTCCAGCGTTCGCCGCCTTCCTCTACCTTTTCTTCAAACTTTATCCACCTGGAAGGGTAAGGATGGGGCTCAGTGTGGCCAGGGCCCTCAGGAGGAGGCCCGCCTGGGTCTCCCCAAGAGATGGGTGTCCTGTGGGGTCATGCTATGTATGTGGTTGTGGTGTTGGTCCTAGACTCATAGGCAGAGGATCTCTTGGGAATGCCCTAATTTGTCCCCCACTCCTCCTGATACTGTCATGTTAAGGAAAGTGGCATCCAGAGAACTATACAGGGGCATGGGGGATCTTCTGGGAGTGATGGAAATGTTCTAAAATTGGATTATGGACATGGTTGCACAATTCCATACATTTTCTAAAAATCATTTACCAGTACACTTGCAATTAGAGAATTTTAAGTTACTCTAGAACAATAAGGCTGTTTTTTTAAAAAGCCTCAACTGGAACCTGATTATCTCAGGCTGTTCACACATGAGTGTTCAGTGTGGTTTGCTGGGAGCAGGAAAAATGTTCCCTGACGAAAAATATTTCTCCCTGAGTTCCCCTGCAAGGTCTGAGGTTTCCATGCTTTACACTCTTTTTGCCTCTGAAAGTTCAGGTAAAAATCCACATGCCATCCGGGGAAGGAAAGAAAATTAACCAAGGATGTATAGGGATCTGTCCTTTCTAGAAGCCTTGGAATCATGGGCTGGGTGTTCAAGTAGAAAGGCCTCAGACAGAGCCAGGGGAGCAAGGAGTCCTGGCTGGAGACACCTAGCTCCCCTTTGTAAGATGTCAACCACAAATGCATAGGTAGCGCCAATCTATTACAACTTAAATCCCAAGGGAGGACTTTTGGACCATGACTATCTAATTCTAAAGTTCCTCTAAAAAAAGTAAACATATGAGAATGGTTGGGGAAAGTTGAAAAACGAGGAGAAATGGGGATGGGGCATGCCTTAGCACATATAAAAACTTGTGGAGAAGCTTCAGTAATTAAAGCAGTGTGATTCCAGGCCAGATATAGACAAGGGATCAATGGCACAACAGTCCAGAAACAGATCTGTATATCCATGGGAATTCAGGTTTTTTGTTGTTGTTGTTGTTGTTGTTTTAGACAGAGTCTCACCCAGGCTGGAGTGCAGTGGCATGATTTCAGCTCACTGCAGCCTCGACCACCTGGGCTCAGGTGATCTTCCCAACTCAGCCTCCCAAGTAGCTGGGACTACATGCATGCACCAATTTGCTTGGCTAATTTTTGTATTTTTTGTAGAGATGGGGTTTCATCATGTTGCCCAGGCTGGTCTTGAACTCCTGGGCTTAAGTGATTGGGCCACCTTGGCCTCCCAAAGTGCTAGAATTACAGTTGTGAGCCACCACGCCTAGTCACGGAATTTGGGTTTTGATGAAGGAGTTGTTTAAAAGACAACCAACCTAAAAATAGAAAGTTAAATCCCTACTTTTCACCAAAAACAATACTAAATTCTTCATGGATTAAAGTCTAAACATAAAAATAAATATATAAGCAAAAATGCAAATGTACTAGAAGAGAATATAGGAGAGCATTCTTATATTCTTGGAGAATATTGTGGAGAAAGACTTCCTAAACAAAACCATATGTATAAAACCATAAAGAAAAAAAAAAAGGACAGATTTGATTACACAAAACTAAAATAAATGAAAACTTCTGTATAGTAAAATAACATATAAATCAAGTTTGAAGAAATGTGCTGAGAAAAATATCTGCAACAAAGAAAGCACCAAAAGACTAATATTTATAATACAACCAATTAACTCAAATTATCCAATAGAAAGTAAACAATCCTGAGAAGAAATGAAGATGGCCAATAAACATATGAAAAGATGCTCAACTTTACCAGTAATCACGGACTTTTAAATTACTACAAATGAAATAACATTCTTCATTTCTTACATGGGCAAAAGTTAAAAAGATTGACAACTTCCTATGTCAGTGAAAACATAGGGAGGTGGCCTCTTATCTGCTGCAGGTGTAATGACACAGCCTTCCTGGTGTGGGCAGCCTCTTTCAACATTCAGTGTGCATGCCTTTTGACCCAGCGGTTCCATTTCTAGGAAACGATCACAGGAATATAATTACACTGCCACACCCTGTAATATGTATACAAGGACGCTCGATGAAGCCTTATCTGTTAGGCCAAAGAACTGGAAACCACCAGGTTTTCCGTAGAAGCATGATTACATCAATTCTGTATGTCCATGCTGTGGATCCCCCAGAAATAAATAAAAAATACGAGGGTGAACTCACATGCTGACAGGACGGACACTACCATCCCATTTTATAAAAAAGAAAAACACACTTGTGTGTGCACACACATGTGTCTGGAGAAAGCAAAAGTTTTGGAGGGATCCATGTCAAATGGTTAACAATGATTACTTTGAGCAGAGGAGTAGGATTGTTGTTGGGGCGGGATTTAAGACTTTCACTCTATTGGGGTTAGTTAGTGTAGTGGTTAGGCTGGGTGAGGTGGCTCATGACTGTGATTCCAGTACTTTGGGAGGCCCAGGCGGCTGGATCGCCTGTGCTCAGGAGTTTGAGACCAGCCTGGGCAACATGGTGAAACCCTGACTCTACCAAAAAATACAAAAAATTAGCTGGGCATGGTGGCACGCAGCTGTGGTCCCAGCTTCTTGGGAGACTGAGGTGGGAGGATCACTTAAGCCTGGAAGGCAGAGGTTGCAGTGAGCCGAGATGGCACCACTGCACTCCAGCCTGGGTGACAGAGTGAGACTCCGTCTACACTTTTTTTAAAAAAAGAGCGCAGTCTATGAAGCAACACTATCAGGTTTTGAAAACCAGCTCCATCATTTACTAGCTGAGAATCTCAGGTAAGTTACTTAATCTCTCATCACCTTTGATTTCTTCAGTAATAATAATAGTGTACAGCAATTAGAGCAGTGCCTAGCACACAAAATACTGTTAATGTTAGCTATTAAGTTAAAAATAAAGAATATTACTTTTGTAATTTTAGGAACAATAAAAAAAAAAGAAGAAAGCAAAGTCATTCAAAGCTTCTCCAACCAGGAGACATCATATTGATGTCTTGATGGTTGATATTTTGGTAACTGCCATTCTAGATCTCCCTGTGCATGCACCCACATATGCCTGTGCATGCGTGCACATATGCCCATGTTTGCATTAACTTTACATTAATGGCACCACAAGGACCTTAAGGGCATAGTATCTAATGGACATCCTTTTGTGTCTATTAGTATTAACATCATTCTGGGCCGGGCGCGGTGGCTCACGTCTGTAATCCCAGCACTTTGGGAGGCCGAGGAGGGCAGATCACGAGGTCAGGAGATCAAGACCATCCTGGCTAACACGGTGAAACCCCGTCTCTACAAAAAATACAAAAACATTAGCTGGGCATGGTGGTGGGCGCCTGTAGTCCCAGCTACTTGGGAGACTGAGGCAGAAGAATGGCGTGAACCCAGGAGGCGGAGCTTGCAGTGAGCCGAGATCACACCAGTGCACTCCAGCCTGGGCGACAGAGTGAGACTCCGTCTCAAAAAAAAAAAAAAAAAAAAGAGAAAAAAACATCATTCTGAAGTGTTTCTAGTATTCCACTGTCTGAACGTACCATAATTGATAGGAACAGTTCTCAACTGGTGGACATTCAGATTATTTCTAATTATTCTTTATTATTAATTAAGGCTGGTCAGAACATCCTTAGTCCCTGCTCAATAATTTCTTTAGAATAAACTCTCAGAAGTGGAATTGCTGTGTCTGAACATTTTTACATTTATAACAAACATTACCAAACTGTTTTCCAGAAAGCTTGTGTCAGTGCCCAGTGCCACCAGTGAGATCTTACATTTCCCTGAAGTCTCCCAGACTTCGGTATTTTCATTCTTTTTCATCTTTGTTCATTTGGTAATTGAAAAATTATCTCACATTTGCACTCTTCTGATTACTAGTGAGATTGAACATCTTTTCCTTCATCAGATTTCCTCTTCATGTAACTGTATATTTTGCATTATCAATGTTGAACACCTTTGTTCCATACATTTATTTGAGACAAGTTAACCAGGCACCTGGTGGGATCCTCGGGAATCAAATGGACACAGGATGGGGAGATCTGATTAGAGAAGGACTGGGAGGTGAAGACCTGAAACATGGGGGCTGGAGCCAGAGACCAAGCAGACAAGTTGTAGCTGATCTTTCGTGGAGAAATCTCTTTGGGAAATATCATTTAAATTATGCCAGATCCAAGACTATGTGATATCGAAAGTAAGATGTTTCTAAAAGGTATGTTAACATAAGAGTTTACAAGGAACAGACCAAAGGATAAGTCCAAATTTTTTTTTTGTTTTTTTTTTGAGACGGAGTTTCACTCTCATCACCCAGGCTAGAGTGCAGTAGTGCGATCTCGGCTCACTGCAACCTCTTCCTCCGTGGTTCAAGTGATTCTCCTGTCTCAGCCTTCTGAGCAGCTGGGATTACAGGCGCCTGCCACCAGGCCCGGCTATTTTTTTTTTTATTTTTTTTTTTTTTTAGTAGAGATGGGGTTTCACCACATTGGTCAGGCTGGTCTCAAATTCCTGACCTTAGGTGATCTACCCGCCTCAGCCTCTCAAAATGCTGGGATTACAGGTATGAGCCACTGTGCCCGGCCAGTCCAAATGTTTTAGTTGAGAGGATGTTCAACTTTTCTTCCTGAGGACCAACTTCCTACTCAGATTGCCCCCCGCCCTTTTTTTTTTTTTTTGCTCAAAAATGATACAAAAGATAAACTGAACTGTCACCCTCCTCCCAAAGACTCTTTTGCTACTACATGGCCTTACCCATCCACCTAAAGGTGTGATGTGGCCCAGTGCACAGCCACTTCGGTGGGTTGCTTTCTTCACTGTCTCACAAACATCCTAGGCCAGATAGTCTCAGGCAGCTCTCTCCCCTGACATCCCATTCTTCAGTCTTCTGCTCACACAAATGCAACTCCACCTGAAGGAGTGATAAGAGCAATGCTCCCTCTTTGAAACATCCTCTACTAACTCCAGATAGCAGACAGCAAAGACATGCAGTCCTCTCCAC